TATGTGCACCGCCTGTGACACGACACACGTCCAGTCGGTAGTCCACCCCCAGCCAGACACGCTGTAGCATGTCTGGCGTAACACTGCGTAACTAACATTAGTTAGTTTTTACACGTTTTGTTAAAATTTGAGATCATTTGAGCGAGAATTGGCTAAGTTAGACTACAAAATGATGCCAAACTTTTGGGGACACCCTGTATTTCAGCTGCTCAGAGAAAAAGCTATACAGCTTGTTTAAAGCAGGGGTACTCCAGCTCCCATTAACCCCAGCCGGCATGGGCAATAAGTGGGCCATACAGCAGGTGGAGTCCAACAACATTCCACAGACCAAGGGCCCCTCCTACCACTGGTTTAAACCAGGTTTTCCCCACCTGTAGCACCCAGAATGTGTTGGACTTCAACTCCCATCATCTGGAGTGCTCCAGGATCTTTGTCTTTAAAAAAATCAGAAAGATGCCCAAAGTAGCTCATGTAAAGTTAATAAAGAAGCAAAATTCAAAGAACATCTGTAATGCAGCCTCGGGCTGATGTACGTGTAGACACACACAGGATATGCAGAAACGAGCAACCCAAGTCATTCGGTTGCTGGCGTGACTTCTGAGAGGAGGGGCAACATCTGGGACTGAGTGGTTTAGAGAAAAGGCGGGGGGGCAGGGGGGGTGATGGAGGTGCACAGAATTATGTCTGGTGTGAAGAAAGGAAACGGAGGCATCTTCCACCTCCTCCAATTATACCATAGCTCAGTGGGATCATCCCGTGAAGCGGAAGGGGGGGGATTCTGGACGGACAGTCGGACCGAAGGAAGCGCTTCTTCACACAGTGCAGTTACACCGTGGAATTCATTGCCACCGGACGGAGGGATGACCCCCAACCTGGGTGGCTTCAAGAGGGGATTAGACAAATTCGGGGAGAAAGCAATCCATGTCAACCAGTCCCAGTGGCTCTGTGCCCGTCGAGTGTGCCTGTGTACGCCAGCTGCTGGGTAACATGGGCGGCAGGGTGCGGTTGCCCTCGCATCTCATGCTGGCCGCTCTTGAAGAGACTAGATGGCCTCCAGCCCTGATCCTGCAGGGCTCTCCTGATGTTCTCGGCTTCCAATGAGTCCCTCCCATGGCAGCCCTCGATCGCGCCCAAGACCTTGCTAGCGGTGGGATCAGCAGAGAAGTGGCGTGGCTGCAGGCCCTGGTGTGGCCTGGCACATAGTTGCAGACCCCGGACGCAACCATCTTATGGGCTGGGGAGGCTTGAGGTAGTCAAGGCTTTGGACAAGCCACAGGGCTCTTCTCCGCCCCCGACCACTAATGGCCCCTTCCATGCTTCACAGCTTCTGCCACATTCCTGATACACCAGAACACCAAAACCGCCTGCCAGCCGGCTTGAAAAGAACTGCTGTTCTCACATGCAGTGTTGCATTTTAAACTCCCTTAAGTTGTGATTGCTTATTTCTCGGCTGCCCCATAGCTGAGGCCCTCTGGGCAGTTCTAAATGAACAAGTCATCCCGATGGCAGGCAGAGGAGCGTTTGGACCCGCTTCCCCGGCGCCCGCCTTGCTTGCCAGTGCCAGGCCCGGCCTCCGGAGTGCCCTTGGGGAAGACGGCTCCAAGCCACCGGCCTCCCTCCATGGCTGCCCAGCGGCTCTGGCTCCCCACCTCTTCCTCGCTGCCCTCCCTGCCCAGCGGACCTTACACAGGGCAACACGCGGGCCAGGCCTTCCGCTCCCATCCTGGCTCAGGCAACGAGGAAGCGCACCGGCGATGCTGGGGGGCCCTCGCTGGGGGCCCCCAGGGTGGACGGGTCTTCAGCGGGTGCCCGTCCACACCAGACCTTGATTTCGGCTCAGGGCCCTGACCCTTGGCTCCAAGGCCATCACTGTCCCGGGTCCTCGGTTTGGCACCCACGTGCTGCCCCGTCCCCGGAAGAGGGCAAGCTCCGCAGCAGTGGCCCCTGCTTCGGCCCCACCTCCCAGCCGAATTCCACCCTGCGCCTTTCGCCTCCGGAGCCAGCGGTGGGGTGGCCGGTGCGGACGGCAGCAGGAAGGCGTAGGCGCTTCGGCTCGGTGTTCCCTCGCTCGGTGAATTATTTACGCTCATCTTTCCGAACAGCGACAACAAAAAAAACGGATAATGGCCGTAAATGATCGCTTTGGCAAAACTAAATGGAGAGCTTTCGCCCTTTAATAACGATAATGAAAAGGGGAAAGGGGAAAGGAGGGAGGGGAGAAAAGAAAAGAAAAGAGAGGAAGAAAGAGGAGAGGAATGTTGCTCGTCTATCTTTGGCCAGCTTCTCGCCGGCAGCTGGTCACCGGGACAAGGCTGAGATCCGCTCCCCGTCTTGGGAAGCTGACAGATGGGTTGCAAAGCTTAGCTCTTTAAAGAGCGCCAGTCCTCTGTCAGACCAACGCACCCCCCTGCCAATCTCCTCCCCACACTGAAGGCCAGGCTGCTTAGAAAAATATGCATTCAGGGCACACATTTGGGGGGGGGGAGGGGTGAGCGACACCAAAATCCACAGAGAGGGTCACGCGGGGTGAAAGCAGAGCGAGACAGGGTCTCACGAGCCCCTCCTGGCGCGCACTTGTGCTCGTGCGCAAGGCGTCCTCGTTCGAAGCAGAAGTCGTGCGCTCCAGTGCCCGGGCCTGTCTGCCTTCACCCTTGTGGGCTGAAAACACGATTCCACACGCGGGGACACCCGTGTCGGCTCATCGAATTGGTTTAGAGACCCCCTGACTGTATTTTTAAAAGACATGTGGAGGCAGTTTGCAGAATAAAAGTTGCAGACATAAAATATCCATACTTGAAATGTCAAAAAACTGAAGCTTGGATCCAGGATAGTCTGCAAGAGAAGGGCCTCATTTGTGGAAGTTCCCCCTGACCAGTTTTGGGGGATCCTCACCCCTTTCAGGAGGGGATTCCTGATTCTCCACGCAGCGTTTCCAGACAATGGGGGGAGCCAATGCAGGAAGGAGGGGGAGAGCAAGGCCACGTCTACCTGCACACCTAATCCAGTGACAATCTGCATCCAAGGCTGGGAATAAGTTTCTCTAAAACATGTTTTTACAATAATCCTACTCTCAATTAAAATGTTTAGAATCAGAGAAACAACCATTAACAAACTGGGCAGCACAGTTAGTTTTTCTCCTGCCTCTCACTTGGTCCTGGACATCGCCAGTGGTGACGAAGAGGAGGAGGAGGAGCAGACGCTATGGCTGAATTGCTTGCGTTCTCTCCGCCAATCAAACAAGCAAGATGGTAAAGACGGCGAGGCATAAATGGGGACCAAGGCCCTGCCAATGCAGACTCTTATGCCACTTTCGGGGCAGGTAAGTCCAGCTGGGGTCGAGAAACAAGGCCTTCTCGGTGTTGGCACGTGCCCCAGAACATCTTGTCCCATGAGGTTTGGGCGGCTCCATCTTGGATTGCTTCTCCCCATCTAGCAAAGACCCTTGCCTAATATTCCAGCAGGCATGTCAGTCGTCAGGTGGGGCTGGGTTTGGCCCAGGGGTCAGGAACCTCTCTTTCTACTGGGGTTAATCTGCAGGAAGCCGAATGCCAGCCCTGGACAGGCCCAAAGGAAACATGGATGGTGCTAAAGCCAGAAGTGGGGGCGCCCCAGTTCTCTCTGCATCTCCTTTTCTGTCACCTGCCTTCTCTGTGCACCAGTCCAGCACCCCTTCAGTCCCCCTAGAGCAGTGTTAAAAGGGAGAGAAATAAGAAAAGCACTTCCTGCACCATGTTCCACGAGATGACTGGTGCCAGTCAATGTTTATTTTCTTGTCAGCACCACCTCCAAACATCTTTTTGCCATTTTAATGTATTTTCTTTAGCCGACTCAATGGCTGTGTCTTGCTCGGCTTGTTGGCCAAAATGTCTTTCCAGTGTGCAATTGTAAGAGGGGGATTTTTTAAAAACCTTGGGCTTGTTTGCTAGCTTCAACGTTGTGAGTGCCACCCCAGGATCCCTGGTAGATAAAGGAGCAGTTTGTAAATTTCGGAAATAAAGGAAGAGATGCCAGAAAGGCAGTAGCAGTTCCTTAAGTCGAACATCTCTCTCTGGGCACTTGGAAAGGTGTTGGTTTTTCATAACCAGAAATGCCAGGATGGGGGGCGCATTTGGTAAATCCCCAGTTCCGCACGTGAGAGTGCATGTGTGGGTTTGTGTGTGTGCCAGAGAGAATGAGAGAGCGAAGGGTGTGGAGGTGCAGCAGGGAAGGGAATTGTTCAGGGTTAATGAAGTGAGAAAGGAGTCTCTTTCAGAAACCTTGCAAACAAAACCCCACCCCAAAGCAAAGAGGCCCTGTGTCCAAAGGGCCTACATGGATTGACTTAAACCCAGGGGATAAGTGCTTTAAATTAATCTCATTGCCTAACAATGAGGCCAAACAAAACTCTTTTAAAATCATATTAAAAATCTATCAAAGGAACAACTTGCGCTTTTCATCACGAAAGAGAGGAAAAGAGAGAGAAGGCAGAAAGCGGGGAAATAATAATCCAAAAGCCGTCTTTTCTTACATTTACACAGCCAGAAATGCAAATTAAAGACATTCTGTGCTATTTAATTGTCCTTGTACCTCTCCAGCCCATGCTATCTCGCACGTTAATGAACGACAACCTTTTTCAACACGTTGAGGAATGGCAAGATTGAAATTTATCCTTGCAGGAAGGAGCAAGGGACTCTGCCTCGGAAAAAGGCAGTTTAAAATCAATTTAAAAGAACATAGACACAGACACGCAACAAAACGGAAAGGCTGCGGCCCAAGGCTTCCAGCACAAACGAAAATACAATCAAAAAGATACAGAATGAATGCATCCATGGGTAGGAGAACTCTTATTTGTCAGCTCGGAAAGTCCATTGAGTTTGATGGGACTTACACCCAGGTAAGTGAATATAGGATCGCAGCCTAAGCAAGATGTCATCTGACAGGGACTGGAGGCTCTGAAACAACCTGGGTGAATCATTCCCAAATGCGTGTGCTCCAGCCACGACTTAATAACCAACAACGCAAGAGCCACGCCGCAAGCGTCCGATGGCTGACCTGGCCCTGCGTTCCCACAGTGCCCAGATGAGAAGCCTGTGCAGGATACGGACACCCGGACACCCGGCTCCCCTGCAACTGGCATTTTGGCGCACCACTGCCACGTGCAACCCGGTCTCCACCTTCTCCCGGCATTTGTCCAACCTGCTTGTACAGCCGCCCCCGCGGGGGGCCACGGCTTCCTCCGGAGGCATCCAATTCCACAGCGCAGCATGGCACCCTGTGAGCAGTCCCTTGCTCTGACCGGTCCTCACTTCTCCAAGAATGACCCCTTTGGGCTTTGGTGGCCTGACAGGAGGAGAAAAATAGCTCCCCGGTCCGTTTTCTCCACACCCGGCCTAGCTCTGTGCACCTCCGCTGTGCCTGCTTCTCCCACACTAAAAAGCCCCAAACGCTGCCCTTGTCCGCACCACCCGCAGCTCCTCCATCCCCTGCCTGAAGTGCCACAGTGACTGGAACTGAGTCGGTCAGCTGTGTTTTGGTGACACCAGCACAGCAAGTGACTCACGAGTTAAGAAGAAAGCAGACAGAACAGCAAGGCCCTACAGCGGGGATGCGGGGCCGCAGCCCACCTCGTCAGCCCTGCCCTCCTGGGACCCCCTCGTGGGCACCTTCCCCTGGGCACCCACTTGCCCAAATCCCGATCGTTTGGCAGCAGACCAGCTTCTGTGCAATTTGCCCCGTTCTCGAAGACCGACACGCCTCTCCCAAGGCTGCGTCATGGCCGGAAGAGGCTTCGGTGCAATGGGCTGCTGTTCCGGCCCTGCCCCTTTGCCTTCGGCCCCTCCCCACTCCTAGGATGCTGCCCCAGAGCTTCTCCAAGCCCTGGACTGAGAGAGGTTCAACACCTCCTGCTCTCCTGCATGCCCCGATTTTGGCAGGGACTGCTCCCCAGGCAACGAGGCGAGGAGCTGCCTGGTGAAGGATGGAGGGGGGAAGAGCCGGTGCTCGGCAGAACAGCAGCTGCTTTGCACGTGGAAGGCCCAGGGCCCGTCACCTGCAGCTCCGGGGATACTGGAGACAGATTTCCATCGGAAGCCCTGGAGGACCACAGCCAGCGTGTGCCAACAGGAAAGGCGGGAGGGCAACTGCAGTCCCCAAGGCACAGGTGACCTTATTGACCCGCCCTTGATCAATACATGATATAAAAGAAACAGGATGCGAGAGCCTGCATCTCTCGTTCTAAGTATTTCATCACTGTAAGAACCCTCCTTGAATATTTCATAGAAATGCAGGCGATACGTTCTAACAATAATATTTGTTTTGCCGTAATTTGTATTCTGTGAAATGCCTGGGATGGGTATCAAACATGCACAAGATCACACAAAACAAAACGCCATTAAAAATAACCAGGTGAAAATGATTCCAGGCGCGAAGGATTGCTGTTGCAAAGGCAGTGGAAAGGATTCAAGGGTGCGGCTTTCCCATCATGACTAGCCTCAGTAATAGAAGCTTCGCCCCATCCTGGTGCCATTCCCATGGGTCGCACTCCAGCCTCCATCATGCACAGCTTGCACGGTGGCGCTAACTATACTACAAGTCTCTGCCCACTTGCTGTGGAAATATGATACAGTGTGAGTCATGCGATGCATTTCAGGTGCTGTGCGCATTCTGAGGACGCGCGTCCCCGGAGGGTGTGGGGAAGACTCACCCAACTGCGCTAGCAGCGGCGCCTGTGTAAACTCTGAGAACTGCCAAATTCACTAGAGCACAGACTGTGCCCAGAACTTGTGAATCCTGCACGGGTGCAAACCAGGAGGAGCTCAGAGGCTGGGCCAGACACAGCCACACAGCTGCCCAACTCCCCTGTCCGTGTTCCCCAGCAACTGGTGCACATAGGTGTATTGCCTCTGGTCTGCAGGTATCATCAGCTGAAGAGTCCCAGGTGTGGCTTCCTCCCAGGGGAGCACTTGGATCATGTCAGCTGCCCCTTCCCAAGCCTTTCCCAACTCCAGACCCTCCTTTTCAGGTGCAGTGGCCAGAAGCAAGATTCCCACCATGGAGAGCGGCAAGGCGCCACCAATTTTTCCCGATTCCTGTTCTGTGAGAATATCATGGGTCTGATGATACAAAACATGTTGAACGTATTGCAGGATGCACAAGACAGTGAAAAATAATAAATCCTGAACCGTTGAGCTTGATTTGTAAGGGGGACCAGGACGCAGGGCCACACAGCTGGTGACCTCCAACAGCTTGGCTGCGAGGACATGACTAAACGCACGATGGTCAGAAACAGTCCAGAGGGCTTGGGGAAGCAGCCCGAGCGCAGCGTGTTTCTTAAGACACTTGAACCACCCTCTGGCAAAGTACCTGGCTTCTCCCACTCTTCCAGCCAGAAGCCAGTGAGGATCCCGCCAGATCCTGTGGGACTACAGCTCCCAGCTTCTGCAACCAGTCGTCACGTGGGCTGAAGCTGGAACCCAGCAACAACCGGGGAGCACAGGTCCCCCACCCTGATCTATGCTGTGCAAAGGCGGCTACCCATCAAAGCATTTGGGCCACGTGCCACGGCTTGCGAAAAAGGGACGAGACCTCTCCCTTGTCTGGCATCTCGAACCGGGTCCTGCCCAATTTTCCCTACCCCGAAACCCCATCCTGCCCGCGTTCTCAGACCAGGTCCCTCCGTGGTGGCTGCAGCCCCCAGCAGCCGCATGCCTGGCGCTCAGCACCACAGTTGGCGGGGAAAAGCCCCGCCTGCAAGCTGCAAGACACCCCAAGACACGACTTCCCAAGTAAGTTCTGCATTGTTTTGCTTGCTCGGTGTATATTTTAGAAACCTCATCAGGGTGCGCCAAGATCGCCTTCGCCCGATTACTCCAAGCTCTGTGCTGACAAGCCCACAATTCGGATCACGTGTGCCTGGTTGCCAACATGCCCTTCCCTTGGCAGGGGATGATGGGCACTTCGGTCTGCCTTGCCTTTTAATGCGCGCCCCGTTTTCCGACGATGCTCCCGGATCGCACAGTGCTGCCCACTCTCTCCCCAGCCGCAGTGATTCTCGCGTCTCGGCTGTTGTGGGAGAGGTCAAGAATTCCCAGGTCAGTTTTGGTTCCCAGGTTTTGTCAGCCTTTTCTTCCTCTTGACCTTGGAGGCAAGAAAGTCCAAGCCACTCGAGTATTCAGATTGCAAAATTTCAGCCAGACGGTGCTTGCCCTGGGATTTCTTGAGAAGGTCACGCCTGGGCAAAAAAAGACAGAGATAGGATGAGAGAAAGGGACTTGGGGGCTTCAGTTAGTGAAGGAGATCTGGGTTTTTATTATTTTAAGGCTGCAGTCCTAAACATGCATACTTTGAAATAATCCACACCAACTTATTTCTGCCGCTGCCGCTTTTTTACACCACTCCAAAGCAAAAGTTCTCTGGGCAACATTGGAGTGAAAACAAAAGAGAAAATAACAAAGGTCCGAAGGAAACCAAGATAAAACCTGCATCATATTAAGCAAAACCCAGCAACAGCCCTTGTCTGTATGTTTAAAAATAGCTGGAAGTGAGGCTAATCACATTTCTCCTGGGATGGTGCTCCACAAATGGGGGGGGGGGAATCTTGCGGGCCCGGAAAAATCCCTCCCCCCCCTCGTCTCCGTAAACTGAGGGGCTGGGAGAAGAACACGAGCCGGGCCTCTCTGCAGAGAGCCCCAGTTGGCCGGGAACACTGTCCCCCACCCCCCCCCACCTGCCGCGGACCGTGCCCCTCGAGCCCACCGCTCAGCAGCTGGGCAAAATGCAGGGATCGGAGTTTGCACGACTGCCAGGGGACGAGTCGCTCCCCACGGTCCACTTTTCAGTGTTGTGCGGGTGAGGAAAGGCAACTGTTGAGGATGAACCACATGGTGGGCAGGGCGACCCTCGCGATGGAAGAAACAGGCATTTCTGAGCTCACCTTAGTCTCCAGAATGTTCTTTAAAGCTCATTTTGCCTCTCTCCCTTTTTCATTTACCAACTCAGGCTCCCCCAAACAGGGCAGGTGCGCATTTTGACCAAAGAAGGTGTTTGCATTTCTTTTTGTTTGCATTTCTCAGAAGTGCACACATCCGACTCTTGGGCCTTTTTTGCACGTGACTGCAATCTTCACAAACTTTCTCTAGACCAAAAAAAAATGTCAGGAGACTGTGGACACGACATGTTTGGATGCTTGGTGAAAATAAGCAAAATTTCTGCAAAAGGCTAGGAAAACCCTCCCATCCTCACATGAGAGTGAGAAGAGGGGGTGCAGCATCTCTGAAAAACAAGTCGTCATGTGGCTACTCTCGCGGGATTAAGGCATCCCGAGTGACACGGTGAGAAAACAGCCGTTTACATACAAAGAAAAAGCAAAACACAGCACAACTCCTTCGCTGCAGCTTGCCGAATCGTCTTACGGCTTAGCTCAACCCGCCTGTCTTTCTGGGTTGAAAAAGAGCCCTTTTTGCCAGCTGCTGAAAAATGTACAGAAACTGGCACGTTGGACTTCTTTTCAACTTCTCTGAAACCGTGGCACAAATATCTATATCTGCCCAGCTTGACAAATGGAAGACTCTGCATTTTTCTAGGCCAGATGATATTCCAGTGCTCTGCAGTCATGAGTGGAGCTGCCCGCGAAAGACCAACCGCACACCTCTTGCGCTCGAGCCCCTGAGCATGGCAGGTACAACAGTTAAGTCAGGCTGGGGATGAAACTGTAACAGAGCAATCGGTCTGGACAGAAAAACCTCCCAGAAGCGCCAGCATGCCCCAGCCAGGCGGACTTCCTCCTGTCCCAAGCACCACTGTACCCTACGGGGCTCAGAGCGGAGGACAGAAGCAGGGCACCTCCTTCGCCCCAAGGGCCCGCTTCCAAGTCTCGGGGGCGCCAGTCCAATGGTGGGTGGGGCTGAAAGCACAAGGGGTGGGGGCAGAAATACACATACCCCCGGGATATTTTAGCTCAAAGCTCTTATTGCCAGGAAACACAGCCGGGGAGGGGCAGTTGAACCCTTTCGAATAGGAGGAAATGAACAAGAGTCACCAAATGGTCGGTCACTGGTGGAAAGGGTGCCCGGGGAATCCCGCGTGGCCATTGGGGGAACCCCAGAGGAGCTCCCTGTGCCTCCGGATTGGACCTCCACCTCAGCCCCCGGCCAAAGCGTTGCACCCCGTCCCTCCCTCCTTCCACCTGAGCAGAGGCGGCTTCCTATGTGGATCTGCACAGTGCCGAGAACCGCTCTCCACAGGTTGGTGTCCCCCAGATACTGGCTGGGGCTGATGGGAGCTGCAGTCCAAACTGTCTGGAGGGCACCAGGTTCTGATGCTAGCCTGGGCAATCGGTACTCTCGCTGCAGTCGCATACAGCAGCTGTTAACTCAGTATCCCTCGCGCGGACTGGGAGACCGGCTCCGTTGCTTTGAGGCACGGGTTCCATCACAGCTTCAAAGGTAGTTTTAAGGTATTTTACACACCCTGCCCATTTCTCCCTTTAATGAATTCCAGTTTATCTTAAAACCGTTTTCTGCCATTCCTCACCCACAAGGAATATCTACAAATGGACGGCACAGAGAGGTGAGGGACGGAACTGCAGCTGGGTCGAACGACTGGCGCCGACGCAAGCAAGCCAACTCGGACTCCCGCAGCCGCTTCGCTTCGCGCCAGAGAGACATCCGCATGGCGATGCCCGATGAAGCCCTGGCACATTTTCTGGGATGAGCCGGGCATTTATCAGAGGGAAGCTTTCAACACGGATCAGCCTGCCGATCCATCTGAGGGCGGCTTCTCATGGCTTGCCCCTCCCAGTGGCCGGTGGTGCCAGGCAGTGCAGCCACGCTGCCTCCGGCCGGACGCAGCCTGAACACCTGCTTTCCCGCACATCGACTCGGGCGCGCCATCTGCGGCCAATCCGTGGTGCGAGTGAGGAGTGGGGAGGGTGGCGGAGGGAGGGGCACAGCAACGATCAACGGACGATCGACCATCAGACAACCCAGTGGGCGGCGCTGGCACACTCTCCCAAAGACGGGAAGAAAGCGCCTCGCCTCACTGGAAGGCCTCCCTGAGCCAGACTGAGCGCGGGCAGCTCCCGGGGCGACAACACGGGGAGCCCAAGGCTTCAACCCAGGGCTCCACTTGCGTTGGTGTTCGACTCCCATCATGCTCAGTGAATTCATCTGGGGCATTTGCATCTGGCTCCTCACCCAGAAAGGCTCCTGGACTGGCTCACAACTGACCGATAAAATGGACAGCCCGAGCCACAGGCTTCCACCCTGGGAGTCATGACAGATGAGGAAAACGGGATAGGGAGGGAACAGGGAAAGCCTTCCGGCAGGGCTGCTGGAATCGCCTGCTTGTATCTCCCCCGATTCCATCCGCTGGGGTGGCTGGTCAGTCCTAGGCAAGTGGCCGGAAAGCACCCAGTGCGTGGGGCTGCCCTCCTGCCGGCATGGGCAATGGAGGGGCAGCCAGAGGGGGCCCTACCTGCCTGCTCTGATCCTAGCAAGAGGAGCCGCAGGCAGCATGAGTGTGGAGAAGAGGGTCAGGGCTGGAGCCAGGGAAAGGCGGAGGCACCGCTTAGGGGAAAGGCCCTGGGGAGGTGGGCTGGGAAGGAAGAGCCCGACCAGGAGAACGAAGTGTGCTGAAGCACGGCGGAGGCAGCCCTGGCTGCTCCTCATTCGCAGGGGTGTTGATGTCACCTGCTCTCCCCTGGGTGCCCCCATCCCCCTGGGGTTTGCTGTAATTCTCCCAGTGGCGGGGGGGACACCTTACTTCAAAGCATGGTTGAGCCTTCCTTGCTGTGGCGCCATGTATCTGGGGAGGGTAGCTAAGACCCATGGGTTTTATGAAAGACCGGCTCCTGGCAAGACTGCTAGGACCGCTTCTTCGACGCGGCAGCTCCCAGAACCCTCTGGCATCTCCTGGAGGGGAGCAGAGAACGCGGCTGCAGCGGACCCCCGTGCTCAGTGCCCACACACTGACAGCGGCCACTGAGAACAGGGGCCAAGGCAGAGTGGGCGTGGGGAAGAGGGGGGCCCGGGGCTGCAGCAACAGAGGAAAGCGGAGCTAGGCGTCTGTGCTTTGTGGCTACCCGTCCTGCCTCTGCGACCGTCTCTCCTGTCTAGGGCCACACTAAGCCCTTCCCGTCTTGACCTCACACAAGGACCAATTTTGCGGGAGGATAAATATTTCGAGCAGCAAAGCGCCTTCCCGCTTCCACCAGAGCAAAAATCTCTCCGTGGGAAAGCCTCCAGCTTTCCCTGCTGCTAATTAAGTGATATTGAGGAAGCCGTAAATGCCACACAGAAATTGGCAGCCAAGTGGCACCTACTGATGGAGAGACTGCTTTGCAGGGGGAAAAGCTGCAGCTGCAGCTTGGCCTGGGAGAGCGTTGCTGGGGAGGGGCATCGCCGAAGGTTTGCCGCCTCCTCCCCTTCTCTCGGGCAGACAAAGAGAGAAGTTCAGAAGAGGGTGTCTCTCGTGCAAGTGCGTTCTGCTCCCCGCAGCTCCTGCACTGCTAAACATTTTGAATGAGGGGCTGGTGTTAAGGCTAAGCTCTCGCTTATCCTTTGTAGAAGGCCAGAGTTGGACATATGTAATATATACACTTATCAACACTCTCAGCAAAAACTGAATTTTGTGGCCTGGACTGGTTTAAATAAGCCCATATGCTTGGCTCTTTGAAAGCTTAAGGACTAGAAACCTGCTTTAACAAAAATAGAAGATTCTTTTAATGCCACTTAGAGCAGCCAAATTCCACTTGTTTTCAAGCAAGATTTAGGCACAGAGAGCAGCTCACTGCTGCTGCGGAAACCTAAAATGACCAAGCTCCGCTCAAAACCTCTCTTGGGGTGGGGTGGGGTGGGGTTCAGCATGGGAACTGAGCAGGATTTCTTGTCCATGGAATGTCCTGCAAGTCTCTGCTGGCCCCAGTTTAGCAAAAGCCATCTAAATTAGGGAAAATGAGTTTAGCAATAGAAATGTGCAGAATAAAGTAATCTGGATTGCAGTGCTTATACTTTTCGGGGGGCAGGACTGGCATTCCTTGGGCAGCGCATTCTCAGTGCACGACCAAACAAATCTGCTCACCCTGGGAATGTTCTCCTGGCGGGCGGGGGGGGGGGGGGAGACTTCTGCACCGCACTTGGTTGGAACTACCCCGCTTATCATCCCTGACATGGCTTCCCTTCAGCAAAATGTGCCACAGGAAATGAAGTTCCCCACGTGTCTCTGCATGATCCCCTGCTCTGCTCCTGCCACGTCCCTGCCTGTCCTCCGAGGGTGGAGGCGCGAGGCGTTCCGCTGCACCACTGCCTGCAATGCGGCTGATGGAGAAATGAAGGAGCACGACGTGGTCTCCAAAGGCGACTGCCTGCCACAGCTCTGCGAGTCACCAAGACAGCGGGCCTCCCAGATGTGTCATTCACACGGGGGGTGCCGGTGGGGGGGAGGCACGGAAGACAAGCCCGTGTTGGAATAACCACACGTGTGATTTCAAGGCCTAAAAAGTGAACGCTGGAGCAGCAGCTCCAATATCTGTGCTTAAAGGAGATGCCAGCCTACGCTGGTGATAGAGGCTGGACTGCCCAAGATTCATTTCGGAGCCGAAAGAACAGGCGGGGGAGCTGGGCCACTGGATCGGACCAGTGGCACTGGAGGGGCTTTTTTCTCCCCCCGCCCCGGCTCCCTTTATGCTGCTCTTAGCCTGGAGGGGGGAGGAAGACAGCTAGGGCTGTGCCCCCCCATTGCAGCAGAGGTAGCCGCTTAGAGTGGGGGGGTCGCTATTTACTAAGAAACCCCCCCACCACCAAGTTGCTTTTGTTACCTCCTTATTATATTTCTATCTTCCCTTTTTCCCAAAAAGGAGTCCAGGGCAGCTCACACAGCCCCGCTCCTCCTCTCCATTTTTCTTCACAACAGTCCTGTGAGGTAGGTGAGGCTGAGTCCCTGCCGGCCCAGAGAGCCAAGCGGATGCTCAGACCGGGGTCTCCTGAGCCCCCGTGCAACATCCTAACCACTGGACTATACCAGTGTACTGTTATTACGAACAGTTGATGACGACGACGATGACGGCAAGAGCAACCCTATTCTGCTCTCCACCCAAAGGGCTCAAGGCAGCAGAAATGCTCCGGCTTTCCCGTGGCGGGTGTCACTTAGTGAACTGCCAGACCTGCTCCAGGCCCAACCCGCTGCGCCCACCCCCTTTAGATCAGCGGGGCGGGGGGGGGGGCACCGGCACTCCTGTTACAATCCGGTTGGGGGAGGCGTATGACTTTCCGTCCACTTTTGCTTCCGCAGGCCAGGAAACCGGGGGCAGGCGCTTTTAACCCCCTGGTTAGCTCTTCTTGCAACCCATACGGGAGAGGGAAAGAGCCCCAGCCCCCCAAAAGAGGGGGTGGCCTTAACAGGGCAACAGCATAGCGGGAGCAGAGGGAAGCCTCGTTACCGCCTGCTGTAATCCGGAGAGACGGTGGTGTCAGTCATCACCCGCTCCCCACCGGGCCAACCAGACATCAAAGCCTGCCCCATGCCATCTTACATGCTCTTTATCAGCTAATCAGGCTATTCTTTGCTAAATAAAGCCCCGCTAAATCCCCCCTGCCCGCTGGGGGCATTCCCGGCCTGCTGCCCATCTGCTGGAGAGGGCCAGCAGAAGCAGCCGGCAAGAAAAGCACCGCCGTTCCCTGGCGGATTCCCCGTGAGGGACCATGTGGCCTGGCCAGCTTCCCTCCCACCAGCTCCGCCGTGTGCACCCCCCGCCCACCCCACTTTTCCCTTTCTTTAATTCTGCTCCGTGCATGGGCTGAGCTGAAGATGTCAGCAGCCCCACGGATTGTGACACGGATTAAGCGGGTTTTAATTGACGCCTGATACTTGCACGGGTTGGACTTGGCCAACAGCAGAGAGTGCACAAAGAGAGCGCGAGGAAAGAAAGAGACAACAGTGGCGGGTGGGGGGGGGGGGGGGGGGGGGGGGGTCGGTCAGGGAGGGAAAGAAACTCGAAGCACAGAACGGGAAGAAAAAAAATAAAGCCAGCAACCACCCAGATGTTTGCAGAGGAATAGCGGGAACAGAGGGATGGTGATGAGGAAGCCAGAAGGAAGACAGGAAAATGCCAAAGAGCAGAAGGTTAGAGGGGGGAAAGCAAATCCGAATATATTTCTACGGTGATTTTTCGGGGAAACAAAATCAAGGAGGTTTGCTCTCAAAATATGAAGAAATTTAGAAATACGATCTAAACAAAAACTCCCGTTTTCAAAAACAGTGGATGTTAAAGACGCACCCCAAAAGGGGGTCCTGTTGAAACGGAAAGGACAAAAACTAAAATGTTGGCGCACTTGTGGCTGATGAGCCCTTGAGACGGGAAGCGAAACACGGCAGGGATAAAAAATCTTATGAAGGGAGTGGAAAGAGGAGAAATCCCCCAGTACACCCAGGATTCTGGACTTGGGGGACCCCCAGTGCTTGGCAACAGGCTAAGGACAGGCCAGATGCAGCCCCAATCCAAACTCCCCAGCCTGGCGCCTTCTCGACATGGCAGTAACGCCACCTGTGCCCCCGCAGCCAAGATGTCTGCAGGCAGGTGGCTCTTGGGGGCTCATTTGCAGGAGCCACAGTGGGCTATGCAGGGAAGGCTCAGGGATGAGAAAGAGTCTGGGCTTGATCCAGCAAGGCAGTTCTGCAGCATTCCTGGAGCAAGTTGCTCTGTGTGTCTACTCTGCAGCAAGTCCCACTGTGTGAGCGGCGCCTGCTTCCACTCGAGTGAGTGCACCTGCCTCGGGATAAGCCCTTCCTGATCAGACGTGTGCAGGATTGCCGCACACGAGGCTACAATCCTGAACTGAGGGAGGGACTGATCCTGCGTTCCTAGTCAGCAACTGGGAGGCATGAGCATCTTCAGATTCCCAGATCCGAGGCTGGCCAGATCTGGGCATCTGACGAAAGCTCACAAAAAGACGTGTGGATTTCCCTGCGAAGAGAAAAAACACGAATCACACACTCTGACAGGGCCTTGAGCTGGCAGGAACATCAAGGTGGAATTCAGAGACCTCCGACGGCCTCAGGTTTCCCTGTTTCATCCATCCCCTGCTATAGTCCACGGAAGCTTGTGGCGATATGAATGCTTGGTCTTTTAAGGTGCTGCAAGCGCTTTGCTACTTCGCCGGCACTTCGGCCTGTGGTGCAGATGCCCAAGCCGTGGGGGCGGGTGCTACTGTCTTGTGCTGGGGGTGGGGGGAGCCAGTGCAGGCTCAGATAGGGAGGAATCTCCCCACCCTCACCAGGACCCTCCCAGGGATGGGCAACCTCAGGGGTCACGTAGGCCGCTTGGGCTGCACCACAAACTGGCTGCCAGGGGAAACATCGCTCATCCCAAGGGACGCAATAAAGACTCCAGCAGGCCCTGATCCAAGCACGCGCAGCTACCAGCACCCGTTCCCCGTCCCTCGTGTAAAGCCATCTCCTCCGCTGGGCACGAGGTGACTCGCAAGCAGGGCTGCCCTACCTTTTCCGCTTCTTCCCCCGGCTTGGGACAGCAGAGGTGCTGAGCTTCCCAGGAGCATCCCGGAGCCCGAAGCTCTTCGCCACGTGGCCCAGATGTAGAGACCTGACGTGAAAGATGTGCTTGAGGTCGGCAGGGTAGGTGGCGTATGCCCGGATGAAGGACTGCAGTGCTGGAAAACCAGAGGGGTGGGGGGAGAGGTGATGGCCGTTGGAACTGCCTCGGCAAATTGATTGCATTTCCTTGCCTCCCTGGTTTTGAGACGTCTTGGTCGAGCGCTGGATTTGGGCCCAGTGCCAGGTGCAAGGCAATCGGAACCCAGATCCTCAGTTGCAGGGTCAGAATGATTTCCTCACCTCGTGGCTGGAGATCCAAGCACTCGTATGGCTCTATGGACACCGTTTAGCGGCTCTGGGATCCTAATTCATAGTGTGCACATTTCTGTATTGCCATTTGTATTATGGGTTGCATTCTTACATAGCTCCCAAGGAACATTTCCGCTAAGTTTCCATCATTAGTCAAATGTATTATTGCTGTTCTTAGAGATGCATTTTGCAGCTTGCCTCTTTTTTTTTGCGGGGGGGGGGGGCTGCTGGACCGAGTTTGGACAGTGATGAAAACAACAGAAACTACTTTTTGTGTGGCAAAAAAGTTGCACGCATGAACTGCATGAACGGCAGTTCTGCTGCATCCAAGAAGTCCTAGACGGCCAGATATCTCAAATCACTTTGTATCTTCCGTGGAGATACGGGTGAAAGAGACCATTCGGTTTGAATTTTAGGGAGCGTTTCTCTTTGAACTTGTATCCTAGCAGAAACTCAGTCCCTCTACAAAAGCCACACTCTCTGGATTTCCTAGTCAGACATGCGTGGCACAACTGGCCTAAAGAGAAACCTGCACAAAATGTGTGTGAATTTTCATGCACATGTTTCAAAATAAAGTTCAGTGTTTGGGAAGATGTGAATGCAAGACCAGAGAAAATCTCCAAGTTCCAGGTGAACCAAATTCAAGACTGGAAAAAGGAGAAACTGAGAGAAGCCCAAGAGTAAATTCACAACCTTTGTCGTGGAAGGCTGCAATTCTCCTTCTCCTTCAAGAATTCGCACATAGCCGGGAATTCAAGGAAAGCTTCGCAGCAGGAAACAGCTTTCTTCCTCTGGTTTCTCCCTTCGCCTCGCCCTCGCTGCAGGCCGCCTGCTTCGGTTCACCCCGCTCCCGGCGGCCTTGCGACCGACCCCACCTGCTCCGTGTTCCCAGCCTTCTCTGCCCTTCCTTGTTGAGTTGCTCGACCAGCACGTTTGCCCACAGCTTAAGCCTAATCTCTCAGCAGTGGCAGGAGATTCGGGTCTTACGAACAGTAATAAAAATGTCATTTTAGCGAGATCAGTTCCTGGAAGGACCCAGGGAATCCATCAAAGCTCTGTTTGCCAAGCAAAGCGAACGCCATTTCCCAATCAATGAGGGAGTAACAAAGGAGAGCATTTCGCAAGCCCTTTTCTCATTTCACATCATCAATTTTTTAGAGATCCAAGTCTAGAGGGAGAAAAGGAGAGGAAAACTTACAAGGGCCCCCCAACCTCTTGAAAGGTAATGTTTGATATTTTAAGTTGCTCAGTCACGTACCCAGGCCCAGCTCCAACCCACAGGTGGCTCAGCCCTGCAGTTCAAAGCACAGGTCTGCTCCAAGCTGGCAGTTTCTTCCCACCCATCTAAAAAACAACTTCCTAGTCCACATTGACCACTGGAAAAAAAACACCCTGCAAACAGATTCTGCTAAGGGCTTGTTCCAGCAACAAGAAGCTGCATCCCACCCTTCTATCAGAACGACCCACGGAAGGAAACTGCACAGTAGTACAACTGTATTAATATAATTGATGTGTGATTTATGTGATGTGTATTAACATATTACAACAAGCAATGTCTAAAAGCAGTCACAAAGGCAACCTATGCTTAAAACCAAGAAAAAAGGGGCAGCCAGTATAGAAGCCCTTGAAGTCCACAGCCATAAAGCCTGGAAATGCACATCACAAGCCCATTAAAGGAAGGTGTGCTCAATTCTACAGGAAGAGATACCGAGGAGGAGGAGGAGCACAGCCACAGACGGTGCTGAAGCCAAGGCAGCCAGCGGGAATCGCTGCAGGCACACACAGAATGTGGCGGCAGAGCATGGCGGGCCCCCGAGGGCAGCTTGTTCCAAAGGCGTGGGGCCACTGCGAGGAAGGCCCTCACATGCCGGGTTGCTCACCTGCCTATCTGCTTCCAAAGGTGGGCAAATGAGAAGGGCCTGTCCCAGACCCTAAAGTGCAGGCGGGCTGGGTAGGTGAGTGTGGTCCTTCCACTTCATCTCAAACCACTCAAGAGCTAAAGGTCAAACTTATCCGGCTTACCCAGAACCCATCCAGTCCCCTGGAGAAAGGAAAGAGCCATGCTCTGCCGACGGACAGACTGGAGGAGAACTCCTCCCAACTTGGGCAGTGGCTGGCGTACCGGCAAGGCAGGGTTTGGGGAAGGGCAGCTCTCCCCACTGGCCTTACCCAGCCCTGACGTTCCCCCCAGGGCTTCCGCCCCTCCCACCTGCCGTTGCTCCAGAGGGAGTGGGCTGCCTGGGCAGGAGGCTGGGGCCAAGGAGCAGAGGGGGCCACCCCAGTGCCCCGGGGCCTGGAGCAGCTCCCCCCACGGGGAAGGGTTCCCTCCACAGGGGTGCTGGGCTTAAAAGGAAGTGGGCGAGGAGAGGCACCTTGGATATGTATGGACATGAACGTATGCCTGGTGCAGGGGACAGAGGCAGGACACCCTCTCCCCCGCTCTCCTGAGGCCTGACGCCAGGGGCATGTTCCCGGGAAGCTGGCTGCAGGGAGCAGCCCGGGAGAGACACACCAGCCTCTCAATGCAGAGCTGCTCCAAAGGGCCATGGCCGCTGCCTGCAATCACTAAAAAGCAGTCACTCATTCCCAAAGACTGCCAGTGATTATCAGTGATTATCAATGATGATCAGCATTGACTGGGTCAAAAAAAAATTAAGGGAGAATGAGAGAGAGCAGTGCAGGGTGGGAGCAGGTTAGGAAAAAGAAAGAGGACCAAGAGTCTGGCATGGATTCTGTTTGATTTTCTGCCATAAACGCAAGTGCCAGCTGCCACGTTAATTATTCACCATCCTTGGCTCCGGCGAAGGAGGAAACGAAGGGAGGTTTATGGATGCCAGCCGGTGCTGGAAACTGTGCATATGCAGAGAGCAGAATATGAAGCGACAGAGGAGGGAGCAGGTTGCTCTGTACGAACCCAAACCCAAGGAAAAGCAGCCGGGGCGGGGTGGAGCGGGGGGGGGCGCAGCAGCGAGCCATTTGTCTGAAATGCGGCTGCTCTTTCCTCCCCGAAGCTGTCCAAAGTGTTCAAGCGCTGGCACAGGAAGCAGCCAGTGCAGCTGTCTCTGGGAAAGCATCGCTTGCACAAACGGCGCACGCCAATATGGGTTTGGTAATGTACAAGCCTCTTTCCCGTGATCCCCATTCCAGTGTCAATTGCAGGGAAGCCGCGGACGGGGCCGAGGGCACTGCTGGTCCAGCACGCCCGGCTCAGCTCTGCGGCTCTTCCTGCAGACCTCCAGGCTCGGCAGGGAGGTGGGGGAAGAGCTCCCGGCTTGTAAAATGGGGACCAGAACCAGAACTGGTGGCGTGCTGGGATTCGGCAGCGACACGGAGAGAGCCACTTGGGGTACTGGGTTCTGATCTAGTGCTGGGAGCCCTGGGCGTTAAAGACAGCGGATTTCTAGGTCTGGGGTCTCCCATCGGATACTCGGCAGTGCCACGGTGCCCACACATGCTTCTCTTTGCCTCTACCAGCCATCTCGTCCTTCCTGATCTTTGTTTTGTTTCTCATTTCGTTAACTGCTCTAAACATATCCCCAGCAGGCTGGCCTGGTGAAGTGCGGCCCTTCCGTGCCATCTTTTCTCGGGTTCAGATGAATGGTTTTATGCTTTGGCACTCAGCCCCACCATGGCCTCAGACTGGAGACCCTGGACAAGCTCCACCTTCTTTTAACCTTGCCCGTCTGCCTTCTGGGAGATGTGGGGCTTGGGGCTGCGTATGCTCGTCACAGGAAGGAGCAGGCGAGCTTCTCTGCGTGGCAGCCATTTTGCTTTGGGAGTCCCCACAACACTCTCTCAGAACCCCAAGGGTGCCCAAGGACTCCAAAGGGTGCAGCCCTGCTCGAGTCCTGATGACGGCCATCATGCGCACTAGAACGGTGTGGCCAATGCCCTGTCATATTTGAGAGGCCACAGAGACACTGAATACGTATTTTGGGGGCAGGAAGTGGGGTGGGGGGCGCGACAGGGCACATGCAGCAGGCCCACCCCCAGGATTAGCAAGACCAAAATAAAGATACGCAAAATCAGGTAACAAACTCTGCAGTTTGTTCAAAATAAGTAGCCGGCCAGGTTTCTCAGAGTGAAGAATTTATACCAAGTACCTGGCTGATGCTTCCCGGAGCTGCGATCAATGTATGAGGGGGGAATTGATGCGGAGGAAAGGGACAGAACAACTCACACACTGTGGGGCCAACACAACCAGGCCACTCCGGTTAAGGGCGAGCCAGCGCCAAGACTGCTGCCCATCAGCTGATGCAAGACGCTTAAAAAACCCTTCCCTCCTTCTCACTTTAACATGAGAAGACATCACCGTTTAAGCAGTGATGTAGCGAAAACAGGGCTCACAGAGATGCGGTGCCAAGACCACTTCGTCAGCAGGGCTGCCCTACTCGGACCTCCCTGTCGTCTCTGGACTTGGCTGCCACTAGGAAAACTGGGGAGAGTGCTGTTTCCAGCAGCAGTGCCTTGTTTCTCCCTGCAGTATTTCGGGGTGGCTTGGTCTTGAATGAGCCGTGAGGACCCCCTCGCTTCACCAAAAAGGCCCGATCCTGGTATAGACGGAGACTCCTGCAACTGGTTTGCTGATGTGGATCAACACAGCCTCCTGCAATTCCCCCCCCCCTCCTTAGGGATGCAGTGACCATGCTGCACGTCAAAATGTGCCGCTACACTAGATGCCAGGAGGGGAGGCGCCCAACCTTTCTTGGCCCACTGGACCATTTCTGCACTGGAGTGGACGTAGTTCTCGAACTCGGTCTGCAGCACGGTCGCTCTCCGCCGTGTCTCCTCAGCGTCTGCGCCGTGGAACTTCTGCAGTGGAGAACAGAAGGGTGAGTGGTTTGGTGGGGCAGGAAGGCTGTCGCGGTTTCAGAAGAGGTTTAGCAAGCTACAGAGCTCCTCCTGTTCCCTCCCACCCTCCCGGAGCTTCTCTAAAATGGAGTTTCAGCTTCTCTAATCCAAAAGACCCCAACAATCAGGGGCCTTAAGAGATCCAAACCCAAGAGGCTGCCCATAAACCACACATCTGGAAGATGCTGCAGTCCTCCCAAAATCACCAGGCTGCCAACAGGGCACCAGGCAGAATTCGCAGACATGTGAAGCTTCTAGATGGTCATCAAGGGCCGCCCGGCACAGAGCGCCTCACAGTAGTCAGGGCACACCAGACTGTGGCACGCGGGGGAGTCTCTCGTTGGGTGGGAAGACGCGAAGCTGAGCTGCCTGGTTCAGCCCACTGGACCCTCCGACCCAGGGCGCTTTTCTCTCCGTGGGAACTGTTCTCCCAAACCAGGACTGTTCCAGCCCTGCAGCTGAAAACACTGAGTGGCGATGCCTGAGGGTGGAACCTGGAACCTCCCTGCAGTCCGAGTGCATGTGACACGGATCCCAAACATGTTCGCACTGTCCTAGTAAATGGGAGCCGGTTCTTGCTGAGTGGAGTCCAGCTCGGCAGCTCACACACGCCAGACGCCGCGTGCCTGTGCCCGGGTGCTGCGTTTCTCTCAGCCCGAGGGCTGGATTCCACCTTGGAGGCACTCCCGTGAGCAGCCGTTCCAGGAACGGGAGCAGCCAGGAATACCAGCAAAGGTAAAGAAGCAGGCAAGGCCCCGACACAAAAGCTCCATCAGATTGTCCAGCAAAGGTCCTACCACCCATAACCTTTTAGGTTGCAAAGAACCCAAGGTGGCCAATAGAAACAAAGGAACAGAGCGAGCCAGAAGGGGCCTCCCGGGCCATCCAGTCTGACCCCCGGCCCCAGCCGGCTCCACTCATGGCATGCCTCCACGTGCATGTCCAGCCTGCCCTTGAACACCCTCACCGATGGGGCCTCAGCCACCTCTTCTTTTCTGTTTTATCCTCACAACAACCTTGCAGTGGTGGGCCAGTCTCTCCCAGTCTAGCTTCCCCTCACAGGGCAGTTGTGTGAGGATGAAATGCTGTGCCAGGAGAACCGTGTGCCCCGGAGGAAAGACTTGAAGGCTTTGGAGCCAGACCTGCAGGGCACCAAATCGGCAATAAATACACACGTTGGCTGAGATCCACATGTGCAGATATAGAAATAATTACTAGGATGTATTTGAGTTTCACAGAGGGCAAAGCTGGCCAATTAAATTCCCATGCAAATCATGCTGACTAAAATAAATGCTTCAATTAATTTGCACCCTGAACCAAGTTCAGCCCAGTTCTCATGCAGGGAGGGGCTTTCGGGGGCAGGGCATGTGGGGTGAGCCGAATTAACCTTCCCCTCCCCTGCTGCAATTCGCCTCGGAAATCACCCCCCGCGTGGCACTTCAGCAAGAAAACAACTCTTCCACCAGACCCGGAGGGGCTCCGCCAGGGCCCCGAGAAACAGCTCTGGGACCCGGACCTGGAAGGATGTCAACACAAACATACCGAATTAAAAGTATGCATACTGCTCCCTCAATCGCCCCCTTTGTGGACCCTTCTGTGCCTTTGCTGCAGAGAAGTGGGGAACACATGTTAAAAGAACCTCGCAAGCAAATCAAGTTTCCACCACTGTGGAATGCAAAAGCTCTCCCTTCTCTCCGTGCCTCCCCCCGCCCCCCGGCGCTTTCCCCCATACCACCCCAATCCACCTTTTTCTTTCGTTAAGCCTCTTGAGTTGCACAGAGTGTCACCTTCCTACCGCGGTGCTTTTTTTTTTAATATGAATGTGAAATTAAGCGCAGTTGCCCTTTCCCCCGACGGACAGAATCCTCTGTTATTAAAAAGTAAAGCACTTTAATAATGAAAAACTTCTTTTTTCCCTCTCCCCCCTCCCGCCCCGCTTAAACCCCCCTCCCGGTGTTTTAACTGTTTAAAATTAATGAGAAGGGCAGAACGGTTGTCAAAGCGTTATTGAAAGCGGGCAGCAAGGACCAAATAAACCCGAAAATCCCCCCAGAGTGTTAAATAAACAGCGCTTCAGCCCTTCCAAATCCCTCGGTTGGTTATTGTATACATTCTGTATCGGAGCTCAGAATAGATCTGAGCGCCGGGGAAGGCAGGAAAGGTTTCAGAATTCCAATAAAGGCCTCAAATTAAAGACAGCCCAGCGCGAATTCCAGGAGAAAATTAAAGAGACCTCAAACTTAAGTGACAGGTGACTTCCTTCTATGCCAGAACTGTCTGGGGATTTAGTGATAATATGGCAATATATTACAAAGGCCTCTCCGGCTCGCCTCCCTCCTTCGCCCCCCACCTTTTCAGTTTCAAAACGAGGTACCTCCTCCTCCCGCCTTTGGAAAAGGAAAGGAGGGAAGGAAAGGAGGAAGGAAAGAAGGGGTTTTGAAAACACAATTAAACCAAGGGATTTTTTTTAAAACCCCAGATCTGTGTAGATGTACATGGGGGTAGACAAGTGGGACTGGAGGTCCAGGTTGGGGGCAACTGAGAAAAGAAAAATGAGTGGCAGAAAACAGCATTAAAAAGATTAACATATTAAAAATAAAACAGCATCCCCACCCCCTGGCCCAAACATTTTTTTAAATATACATTTTCTCAGACCTCTTGAAAGGAAGTTTATTTTTAAAACTGCACCCTAATGGGCATGTTTTGATTCTTGCCCTCCAGGGTGGCTGGTCTGAAGGGGAAAAAATCTACATTTATAAACTGACTCATCATTGGAAAGGGGATGGACACACACACACTGCTATCAGCACTGCGTGCAGGGTGCACACTCGGAGGGGCACCTGATGAGCACATCGGTACGAAAAACTGCACATCTGTTGCGTTCACATGTGATGCTTTTTGGTGTGCATGGCACATTGTACCCGCACACTTAAAAATGGAGCATATGAAGCTCACAAATATTCAGAAGAAAACCTAAATATGTGTACAAATGTGTAAAGCTGTAGGCTTAATGAAGGCACAACACACCCTGCTCTGTGTTTTGCTCTGGTTGTTCTGCCAGTTTTTCCTGCACACAAACTGTGGTTTATTAACCAGCCGGTAAGAGTCCGTGTGGCACAGCGTGAGAGTTCTGGACTGAGGCTCCGGGTTCGAGTCCCTGCTCAGCCATGGAGCTCACTGGGTAACTTTGGGCCAGTCACAGACTCTCAGCCTACCTCACCGGGCTGTTGTTGTGAAGATAAAGCATTGAGAGGAGGAGGATTATATAAGCTGCTTGAAAAGGAAAAAAGAAATCTAATAAACTATGGGTCACCCATGGTTTGTTGCTAGTTTATGAAATCTGTCTTATGATTTAAGCCATGATTTAAATATGTGACTCCCAAATCATGGCTTATCCAAGGCTTGTTTGTGTTGCTGTTTCCCTGGAAAAAAGGTGCCCGGCAAGAGCAGTCTGAAAATGAAAACACGTGGGCCAAATGGAAGGGAAACGGAGCATATTTTGCTTGCTGATCTGCAAGATCCATGGAAGAACCATGATTAACGTAAGCCATGGACTAACATGCAGTGGGGCAAACCTTTTGGGCCGAGGGCACTTCGAGCGGCTGTCCTGGGCGCTAGCACAAAATGGCTGCCAAGGGAGGCATGGCTAAGGAGAAGAAGCCTGCTCCAAAGACTGGATATGAGGCGGAGGTGTGGTTTTCAGCACCAACAAAAACTATTTCACAACAAACCCAGCTGCCAGTAAGAACATTTGGCGACCGTTTGTTACCCAAACAGGTTGGGTGGAGTGCCTTGGCTGGCAGCAAGGAAGCTGCCCACGGGTCACCGGTGGCCAGGGGCACTGAACTGCCACTCCCAGGCTTGGCAGGATGTATGACCACAGCCAAATTCCTGACGGTCTGTACAGGCAGCCCTTTCCCATCTTCCAAAGCGAAGAGGCAGGTCTCCAAAACAAGACCCTCCCCTGCCTGAATGGCCACTCAGTCTCCCTCTCTCCGGCTCCCATTCAAGCGTCTGAAGTGGCCAAGCACCAGACAAACAGAAGAGCCAGATTCCCCTGGCACTCGCAGCCGGATGCTCGTGCTTCTTAGCCAGGGTTTGGATCCCAGGAATCTTAAGCCTGCCCAGGGCGCTGGCAGGGCGGGAACCTCTTCTGGCACTAGGGCTGGAGGCCTCTTGGGGATGGGCTCGTTCTGGTGCTCTGTGGGGCTGAAGCCGCAGGGCCAGGGCCTGTGGCAAAGGGATGGGGCCAGAGAGGCACCTGAGAGGTACTGCAACGGTTCGGAAGAAGCCGGGGAGGATGCACGAGGGTGGAGAAAGCACCAGATGATCCGTGGCTGGGACGGGGTCCCAGAATTTGTGGCTTCCCCCACTGCCAAGGGGTGCTGGATACTGAGAAAACCTCTAATTTCAAAAAGGGTCCATGATCCACAGAAGTCCTGCAACACAATCCGGGCATCCTTTTTCCTTCTGTGGCTGGGTGAGCAAGGAGGGGGGCACAGGGCTGCAAACTGGTGGGCCTTCCTCCTGCTTCCAAAAGCTACTCAAATACAAAACGAAGGCTTTTGTTTTTAGTAACTTTTTGCCCAGAAAATTCCACCCCCCACATGTGGAGTCTCCCTTGGGAAGCTCCCCCCGGCCCACCTCCCCTCCTCCCCGGCAGAAAGTCCATAGATCAAATATATTCTCTTTGTAGGCAGGTGAACATTCACACACCCAGACGGTCGCATGCATATTTCATGCACCTAAAGATAAAAAATACATTTTACAGGTGCTTTTGGCATCTCTTCCCTGCTGGCTTCTCAGAGAAGCCCAAAATTCACACCCACACTCCAAAGGGGTATTTATAATGGACAGCAGTGAGGCTGCTGGAAGAAACGCATGTTATGAGGAGGTTCGGTGGTGTTTTTTGAAAAAAAGAAAAATAACCTGAAACACGAGGCAGGACTAGAATAACCAAAGAACACACAATTTCCATGCTGACCTCTCTCAAGCAGTCCCTGAATGTCCACCCAGCATCAGGAGGAGAATGGCAGAGAATGCTTACTTTGCACCAGTGCTCAACCCTACAACTGCTTTTCAAAGGGATGGGAGTAGTCCCAGAACATGGGTGTGAAAAGAAGCCCCTTGTATCTCAGTGGTTCAAAGGTTCAGAAGGCACTTTGGGGGCCAAAAGCAAAACCGGAGTCACAGTTTGGAAGTTTTCTTAGCCTAGTCACCTGGTTGTTCATATTCGCCATAGGTGACCAAGAAAATACCTGCTTTACACAAAACAGGCCTATATAAAGAGTGACAAAGGAAGGGCAGAAGGAGAGCATGCATTTACTAACTTTTCCCCCACAACTTTCTCCAATTTTATCACCCTTGTGAGTGGGGTCGTTGCCAGTTTGCCTTCTGGGAAATGGGCATTTTGTTATGCTTTATGGGGGAAAATAATGTGATCTGGCAATGGAGGCTCAGATCCCACATTTGCCATGCACTCAGCTTCTTGACCTAGTAAATTCTGTCTTCTGTGAAAAGGGATCTGGCTGGAGCAGAAACCCAGGGTTCAAAGGAACGGATCTGCCTATTGGCACTCCTATTTCACCTCTGCATCGACTCGAACAAGCTGCGTTTCTTCTAACCTTCTGGGTCATGTCCACCACAGCAGTAACTGTGGAAGTGGCAGGCCACCCTCAAAATGCCAAATGCACCCACTGGCCCCAAAAGGTTGGAGGGCCCCGCTTTGGAGCATTAGACGCCATGGGCACATCTTGCACTAAGACCAGGAGTGGAAAGGTGCTGCATGGTGTAAATATCGGTGCCAGCTAGCTCTACTTGATGCAAAGTTTTCCCTGCATTTATTAGAATTATAGCCAGCGCTGTCCCAACCTCTTGGGGAGGCTGACAAAAGCGAACAGACTGAAGCAGAAGCCATTTCTGCAGAACCTCCCTCTCTCCCCAGTTGACCGTGAGCTCTGAAGGCAACACACCAAAGCAATGGGGCTTTATGACACACCTGAAGGATGTGCTGGGGAGCTTGCTGGCTAGATGCCCAGGCGCTAGTGCTGTGCAAGCTCAACCAACCAGTGTTGGCATTACTGCAGCCCAATCAGACGGGGGGTTACAAACTTCCGGACCCATGCTGTAGGATGCACTGCCCTCACAAAGCAGCTGGTAAAAAACTTGCATGTACGGATCAGACTACCGGCAGCGGCTAATAATTTTTAAGAACCAAAGACTACGTGCAATGCACCTTCACATCTGTTTGGTTGTTAAAAGTCGGCAGTGGAACTGCAGGGAAGAGATCCGGGCTAAACTTTGGTGGAAACTTCTCAACAGTAAGAGCTGCTTGTCCATGGGACAGACTGTCGTTGGAGGCAGCAATCTCTCCTTTGCAGGGTCCTGTATATTTAAACGGAAGCGGGCCGGCCATTTGTCCGCGCTGCAGGAGCTGCATGCAACCTTAAGCAGGGGGTTGGACTAGATGACCTCCAAAGATACTTCTAACTCTTTCAGCGGGCAGGGAAGAGAATTGACTAAAATGGCAAACAGCACCAAACCTAGCAGATCGGATAAAATAGCCACTTTGTCTAGTATCCAGCTTTGAATTAATACTCTTCTTGCAGTAAGGAAGAACTTCAGACTTAGCTTTTGTATAGGAAAACAACTAGGCAGGACAGCAAAAAAGAGAAAACTGACCTTTCCCCCACACTGGTGACCCTTGAAACGATCATCTTTCATCAAGCTGGAGAGGAGGGATTCCATCTTCATCTCCGAAATACTAGAAAGCAAAAGAAGAAAAAGATAAAAATAAGTCATGGATTTCCCAAAATCAAAGTACACATATTTTAACTCTGAGTAACCTGAAGGCCGTCTTTGCCATCTCTGATGCAAACTGAGCTCACCTTACAGCCAGCCTCCTGGACTAGCAAGTGGACTGGAATCGCACTTCTCCAAATCCTTCCGGACAGTTCTGGGATCATTTCATTGGGCTGAAAATGTGCCGCCCATGCGCTCATTATAGCTAGGTGCCCTCCCGGGGGGTGGGGGGGGACTACAATTTCCCTCCTCCCCCCGTCAGCCTGGGGAAGGGAAGTCTGGCTGAGGGGGTCAGAATATACTGCACGGATTCACTACCAGTTATTGTGGTTACTGGCGCCTTTCTGAGGCCCAATCCAAAGTGCTGATTCTGATCTAGAAATGCCTAAACGGATCGGGACCAGGTCACCCCCAGGGCTGCCTGCACCCCCACAAGCCCTGAGCTTGCCATTTGGGGCCCTGCTCACTGGCCCACCTCCCCAGTCAGGCATATTGGCGGGCATTAAGGACAGGGCCTTCCTGGCAGTGACCCCACATCCGAGAAACACTTCTCAAGTACCCCTTTCTGTGCTGGCACCCAAAAGCACTTTCAAAAGCCGTTTCTCTCAAGTGACTTTATTAGATCTAGAAAAGACATGGATCCACCAGCGAGACTGGGGAGCCCAGCAAGCTGGATTCGGCCTGCATGCCTTGGGCTGTGCACCCCCAAGTCCAGAGAAGCAACCGATAAACACTGAAGATATACAAATAAAAGCTTGCGTGGGTGGCAGATGAGGTGGCAAAACTGTTCCTCAAGTGCCATGTTTCAGGCCAGGTGGGCCGGAGAAAGCCCAAAGAGGAAGGAGCCCTGCATGTAGAAAGGTAGCCGCCTGGAGCAGAATCTTCTTCCGCACACCTAGCTCTCCTTATGCAGAGAGACACGGTTCTTTGAAACACCTAAGGCTTTTAAGCAGTCTGAAATCCTTTACAGCAAGCCTGCAAACTGAGGCACCAGCATCAACTCCCAAGCTCCGCAGGCAGAGGCGAGATGCAGGGCAAAGCGAGAGATCACGATCCACAGCAGGCGGGGAGCAGGCCCCGCCCTCCCCAAGAGGACTTACTTCCAAGGAGGCCCACCAGCTGCCTTCGGGAGTGCCCTGCTTGTGACCATGATTTGTAAGTCAGAGAACACACAAAATTAAAAGTCGAGCGGCAACTGCTGAAAAGCCGAAAGAGACAGCGCATCTTCCCGTGCCGCCGCGGAAAGGTTGCCCCGACATTTGTGAATGAAAACGTCAAAGCCTTTGACAAGTGATCTGCTGGAGGTGTCAGAAGACGCCCCCCCCCCCCCGCCCACCACGTCTTCTCCTGCCTGGAATGCTGCCAGGCGGCAGCCCCGAAGACGCGCAGGTTTGGTTCGCACAGTGGGGGGCGCGTCGCGGAGGAGCGATGGGTGTGCGGGCCACGCTCATGCCTTCACGGGGACCTGCTTCCTTTCAAAAAGTTCGTTAGGCAGCTGTGAGGAAATAAAGTGATCACCTGATGAGCTGTCGAGAAAGAAGCCCACGCTCCTCGCTCCTCCGCGAAAGACAACGCCATGCTTTTCAAGCCCCTCCACCACGGCAACATGTGCTCAGTCGCGCTTGGAGGATCCGACAGACACACAAGCCGAACATACCCACACGCACATGGCCAAAAGGAAGAAAACACACTGCGAGCCGACTTCCCCTGAGCTTTTCTCATCTATTCCTCCACTGAAAGGAAATCTGGAAAGTTGCACATGGGCTGCCCCAGAAACTCACTTTTAAAGGGCGTGGAGGCAACAGGGAGGACGGGGAGGCCCTGGGCAAATGAGGCAGAACTGTGCAAAACGCAGTTGAGTCCTTGGCATAAAGAGGTAACATTAAGATGCGCCCAACATTTGAAGAAGAGCCGGAGGGAGGCAATAGCCAGGGAACCAGGTGGGGTGTTTTGCTTTTGTTTAGTGGTGACCAAGAGGAAATTTAAAGCAATTCCATTTTCAGGAGGGATTTGCCTTCCAAAAGGCTAAAAAAGAGACTTATGGTGCAAACTTATGCTGGCTAGAAAACGTTAAGAGTTGTGGGAATTTTTGCTGATTAAAATGCATCGGATGATACATTTAAAAACACACAATGTAATTTTTAAAAACACAGAAATCACTTTGGCCAAGGGATATTTGTTTATGAATGACAGGTAAATCCGAGCTGGCTAAGCTGCCATCGACCTCGGTCTTTACAATACGTAAAATGGGTACAACTGGGACAGGCCTCAGCGAGTTATTGGAAGGATTAAGGATGGGAAACAAAAACATTGTTGTCCAGCCTGAGCTGAATCCTGAATTGCAGGATTCAAACGTGAGTTTCAAGAGCCACTGGAATCCATTAATGAATCAGGATCTTTCCAGCTGGGCCACCATTCCGCACTGCAAGTGATCCGTGAGGGAAAAATGGGCTGGCTGCATGCTCCATGGGTCTTGGCATTCCTGTGGGAACGCTTGCATGGCTGGAGAGAAGGGGCTCACTTAGGCCTGGCTCACTGGGCCAATCTCCCCTCCTGCAGGGCCCTCGTCCATACCTCGGTGCTGGCGGCAGGCAGGGGTGGGACAAGTTCCAGCTTAACTTCTTGCATTGCTCCGGAGCAGCACAACGCTGGGGGACAGCACGGGGAACTGATGTGGCAGCTGAAGTTGAGGAGGGGTAGGGTAGGTACCCGCAGTGGGCCAAGGCTGCTGGGGCCCTGGCCATCGCCTGTGGGAGCCAGGTACTGGCGCCAGTCCTTTGCCGATCGCCAAGAGACTTTGCCCCCCACCCTTTTTAAAGGTTCTCTCGGGGGAGAGATGGGAGGACTGCTGCTGCCCGCCAGGTCTGACGTGGGGGTTTCCTGTGTGATCAGCACAGTGGGCCAGTCTGACCCAGCGGGGTTTCTCCTACCCGCTTGTGCATCCTGGGCTTGACAGAAGCCTGCAGCTCACACACGGAACAGATTCTCACACAGGCAAACACACACAGGCGAAGAAAAGGGGAGCCAGATTGCGACTGATCGGGAACTGGGGAGCAGGGAACCTGCAAGGCAAGTAGCTACCGCGAGAGGGTCTTCACAGCAGAGGACCCTTGAGGTGGAATAACTTCCCAGAGGGGCTTGTCTGGAGCCTGCGTGGCGCTTTATTCGTTCTGCATTTCTGTGCCTAGTGACGACCTTCCGGTTTTCCCAGTCCTAAACACTGTGCTGGCACACTTTTAGATCTTTGCTTTGCTGCTGCCCTTTACCTGGGTCATTCCTTTAGCTTTATTCTGTTTTAATCTTAGGGTTTTATATTATGGTCTACTGTATGGCTGTCTTATGGGTTTCAGCATCCCCTTGTGGACTGCCCAGAGAGCTTGACCTTGCGGCAGCTGTAAGAACGGAGGGAGCCCCTCTCCTGCCACACACCGTGGCCGATCAGCTGCCCTCACAGGAGGGCCACACCTCCCTCCCACCACAGCCTTGGCAACTGATGCCTGTGGCCCCCACCTGGAGGCAGCCCAGAGGCAGCAACAACCTTCTCCCGTGATGCGGCGCCGTCCCTGCAGCCCGAGACTGTGACTCCCCTCGCCCAGCTCTGTGCGGCAAGAAAATGCCCTGCACTGCTTCCGCCCCGACACCCCCACCCATCCGCTCCACAAGCCAACCCTGGAATTACGACGGTGGGAGAAAAACACCTCCCGCTCCGTTTCCACCTTGCCATCCAGAACTCTCTGGTTTGCTCTCCCCTCGCTTGGAGTTTTTCTAAGCTAAGCAGACCCAGCAGCCACCCTCTGCCCGCACAGGGAGCTGCTGAAGCCCTCGGTCATTTTAGTTGACCTTTTTTGCATTGTACAACCGGGGGTGGGGGGGCGGGATCAGATGTAACGCACGTAAGAAGTAAGCACAACACATCAGTGTGCCCACGCAACAGGCCCAGTTGGAGTGCGCACAAATATCTCCTCGCCTTTAAGGCACACGGCGGAATTCTGCACTGGCTTCCACGTATGAAGACACGCACCCCGCCGGAACCTCCCCCGGTATCTTGCAAAGCAGTCAAGCCACTGGCTTGTGCTCCTGCGTGTGGTGGAACTGCCTGGAAATGTGCTCAAAGGCCTGATTCTGCTGCCAGTGCTCAAGGAGGATGCACGACCACGGAGCAGCCTTTTAAAATGTGGCCGAGCGGACTGGCTTCTGAGCCAGGCCTTCGCATGCCAGAACGGCACATGGCGAGCCTTCTGCCTCGTTTGCCACGCTGAATTTGTCAGAATAAATCTCCACAAGGCTCAGTTTACAAGCGGAAAGGGCAATTAGATTTGATGCCACGTGTTGCCCTGGGCATACAGCTGTCTGTCCAAATCTGATCTGTAATCCATTAAGCCCGTAACCTGCTACCAGTCCTCTTACACACACACACACACACACACACACACCCTGCATAGATGACTGTATCACAAAGCAAGAAGAATCCACTGGTTCCAGGATGTCCTCCCCAGGAAGAGTCTCCTGGAACCAGTGCTGTGGTCTTTTCAGGGCCAGGTGAAGGATATTTTGCTCTCCCAAGTCTTTTAATCATTCCCTGCTACAAAAACTCTATTAGTACCTTTTCAGTCTTGAATGCAAGTATTTTCTAGCTCGGTTTTAAATTGGTTGCTGTTTAAAATGTTTCTAAAATCTTTTTTATTATGTTTTATTATGGTTTTAAGCTTTAAACTTGTGAACCCTCCAGACAGCTTTGACTGTTGGGAAGTATAGAAATGGAAGGAAGGAAGGAAGGAAGGACGGAAGGAGAGAGAGAGACTGAGAGACTGAGAGGAAGCAAAGAAAGGGAAATCTACCCTTTCCAATTAGGCACGTGATTCTGAAATCAGGGCTTCATACGGCTCCATTTTCCTTTGCCATGCACGGAAGGGTTCTTCAGCCCTGTTCCTCACCATCCACCCCGTGCCTGAGGAGTCAGGACCTCACAGGTAAAGAGCTGCCTCTGGACTTTCACAAGACAGCGGACTGCTCAATCGTTCATTCGAGCCAGGGAATCTCCAAGTCAGGTCTCCCTCGAACGCAGTCTTTAACAAGGCCCTGATGTTCTGCGGAAAGCACTGCTTGGGGGAACAAGTCCAGCACCAACAGTCATGCACCCCTTTCTTCTTATTTCTAACGTTCGCAGCAAGCAGGGCAATGGCCCAGAGCTGCCCACCCTGCATGGTAACAGCAACCTTGCTCTCCACACACGGAACTGTTCGCAACCAAAACAAGTCACATTCACACATGAGAGGGAAGTAACGGCAGGAAAGTGCTGGAAGGAACCCACAGTGTAGAAGTACTTGGGCAGAACTTGTAGCAACAAAGGTATGGGAGAAAAAAGGCACACTCCCAATCTGGAAGACGTAATCACACAAGACCCCCCCCCCTCAGTACAAGAAGATATCCTTTAAACTCATTTTTGCAAAGGGGGAATTGTCTGGCCTGAAGTCCTTCTTCTCTGACATGGGCAGCTATGATCAGCACATCATATTCTGTGCCATTAAGCTATGCGGCTGTTGAAACTCAGGCTCTGAACCTTAGTGAGCATGCTGGGAATTTTGCGATGCTGGGGCTGGGACTCCCCTTGGCTGCCACAGCAGGCAAAGCCGGTCACAAAACACTCATTTTCCAGGAGGAAAACTGGTGAGACTGAAGGAAAAGTAACTTGCCCCAATCTGAGGCAGAGGTGCAAGACTGAGCTCCAATACACAGAACGACTCTTGGACTCAAATAAAGGTCGCGGTGGAGCCTGCTCCATTGTACCCCGTTAGCTTCCCGGTTTAAAAACAATTGATGTTTTTTAAAAAAATTAAAAATAAGAAACAAAAATCAAGAAGTCCAGCAGGCTCCGACGGAGGCACTTGTGATCAAAACGATGTATGGGCACGACCCTGGCAACCTCAGGTTTAAGTATTTGAAAGCACTTTTTAAAACTTACATTTCCAGTGATATTGTTTTGCTCTGCAACACTGCATTTTATTCTAGCATCCCCTTTAAGTCTTGGCGTAATTAAACTTTAGAACCCCTAAAGCTCTTGCTTTAAAATCAGACTTGGATTCGGCAAGAGCCCTTCCGCTGAAGCGAGGAACGACCACCACCCACGCAGAACGACCACCACCCACGCGCAACAAGCAGCTGTGCGGCGGCTGCTTTATTAACTTGGGTTGGCTGTGAACTTTGCAGAGGGTGCGGGCGGGGGGGTGGGGGTGCCGTTGTGACTCACTTAATCTTGTGAGAAGCCAGGAAGCTGACATATTCCGCTTCTGAAGGTGCAAGAATGAGCAGGCTGCTCCCGTGACTGCCAATCCGAGCCGTCCTCCCGATTCGGTGGACATATTCCGCAAGCGACGGAGGAGGATTATACTTAAAAAAAAGAAAGCGAGACGACACACAAGGGAAGAAGGCATTAGCAGATTGCGAGTGTGGCTAATTAGAACGGAGTGCTGCATCTGAGGTCATTAAAAAAATAACAAATCCCCGAACACAGGGTCTAATAGTTACTTTTAAAAAAGAAAGCTAGCAAGAAAGACGGCTTATCAGAACCCATCATAGTCATCTCCGCACCCATCATTCCCTGCTTCAGCCATAACAAGCTTTTTGACACACGAGTGTGACACATTGGCCAAGCTGTCGCATTGCAATTCCCGCTTTTTTTAAAACAAAATTCGTTTCTACAGAAAGCGCCGTTTGCGACCTATTTGCTTCTCATTTTAAATGGGCGTGAACGGCTCAGCATTGACTCAGGACAAATAAAAACAGGGAAGGGGAGAGCGAGAACGAGAGTATTCTGGTGTCCTTAAAATTATATCTGCTTTAGACTAAAATAATTGGCTTACTAAAAGCTTTTTTATACATGTTACTCAGCAGAGAAAGGCTGGTGAGTCCTCTTAGTTAGGAAAGCAAGATATTTTCAAGGTGATTCATATATTTGCTTCTACTGCAGGTGGACGCTCAGGACATTTCAACATGTACATTTGGAAATGTAAAGCACGGACAACAGGATCGGGGCGCTATGCCCACAACCCGCACATTCGATCGCATGATGACAGGGGACAGGCAGCCGTGAGTCCAATTGGCTGTTTGAAAGACTGTGCTGGGCACCACCGCAAAACGGCTGCCACGGAGGGTCTGGCCAAAGACCAGTTCTCTGCTCCAAAGACCACATGCAAGTCAAAGGCAGGGTCTGAGCCCCAAAAGCTGTCAAATTAGCAGTCTCAGCACCAATAGAAAACAAACAACCTTCAATCCCAGCTGCCAATAGGAAATGGTATTAACCAAAAAAGAAGCGGGAGAGGTCCAACATCTTGGCGGCCACCCAGAAATGTGAGTGGGGGTACACAGGAGCCCAGAGGCACCCTGTTGCCTACCCCTCATTTAATTGCTCCCACATGAAGCACTGGGGCTATTCATGTAATACAGCAGCCCATCCTGGGCTGCTTAGCCCGGGCTGTGCAACCCAAAGGGGGAGGCAGGAGGGCATGCAGGGCGGGTGGGGCTGCCCCCTTGAAAATCCCATCCTCCTTGCGAGAACCTGGACAGCACGCCCAGCGGATGCAGCCCCTCACTCCAACAGGGGCACTGCTGGCCAGCTGCTGCAGACTGAGCTTCCCTCAGGCCCCACCCCTTCCAACACCCCCACGCCGCTGATGCTTCCCCAGCACGGCCAGGAAGCAAGTGCAGAGGAGTTTCCCGGCCACCACTTATTGCCCCCTGTTGAAAAAAGTGTTTTCAGTGGGCCGCTGAGGGGCATCCCCAGGCTTGTTTGGACGGAAAACACCCCGCGGCTCACTGGGAATAGGAAGACCTTCTCCTGCCTCGGCGGGCCAAAGAGCCGCGGGCTTTACAGAAGACCTGTGCCTGGCAGAGGTGAAAAGGGCAGGCCTAGGTAGGTAATCTGGCTCAGCGCAGCGATGTGCAATGCGGCACCCTCCTCAGAGGCACAGTTCTCGGGACTGACGTGGCGACAGCCTGGGCATCAGTGCGCAACACTTTCTGCCAGTCACCAGGCATCTTCTGAATGGGTCGGAGCCGGGCCTCCTCTCATGCATCTCCCCCTCCGCCCCAGTGGTTGTGAGTCTGCCCGTTGATGGAGAGCCCGAGAGTGTTCCCGGAAGCTCCTCACCGAAGAGCCAACCCAAACCGCCCGGGAGTCCTGAGAACGGGCCTGGGGACTCCCTGCAGTTCTGGGGCTTCAGCCAGCCAACTGAATGCTGCCTTCCCCTGGAGACAGCATGGTCAGCTGTCATCAGATGAAATACAGCTAAGAGCAAAACCCTGGAGATGGGGGGGTGCACAGCAAAAACCAGCAGAGGGGGCCGAACATATCCTGAATTCCAGTTCAGGAGGGCTTGCTGGCAGCTCAGGCCGAAAGCTTTTCTGTGTGGCCCTCAGATCGTAGGATTTCACTGTTTCTGGGCTTCATCACTCGTCACATCATAGCACTGGATGTTCCTTCTACCAAAGCAAAGCAAGCGCGCAAAGCCCCAAGGTTTTGGAAGGCCAGGCCTGCCAGGCACCATGTGCTAACTTTCTACATGCAGGGATTCCCCACACCGCACCTTAGGAGAGCATCCCACAAAGAACTCCCACAGCTCCCGCCAAGGAAACCGAAGCCAGACGTGACGCGCTTCTCTGTTCACCTGGTGCCCGTGGCCACCAAGCGCTACCTTTTCGTAGAGGCACCCTTGAAAGGGTGCCAAGCGCGAGTGACATGAGTCTCCTACAGGAGAATCCATCAAGGATCAGGGACCGCCTGCAGGGCTTTGCTGCATGGGCCTTTGGTGGCAGAGCAGCTCTTGCATGTGGGAATGTGCTGAAGAACTGCCCAGGATCAACTTGTTCTTAATCCAGGACACATGAAGGTGGATTGCAGAACCTCAGGGCTGTGGGGGGGTGCCCCCTGGGGCATCCAAGCCATCCCTCTGGGGCTCCCCCAGCCACGATTCATTGGGTGCTGTTCCCAGAGGTTGGATTGCCTCTCCTGGGGGTTCGCAATAGCCACAATTTCAGGCTAACTCATGTGGGGCTGGAGAGCATTTTGTTTTGCTTTCGGTCCTGCCTCCCGTCGGAATGCAGCCTCCCGAGCACAAGGAGAAATCCACCTCTTGAGCTGAAAGGGATTTGGCACCTGTGAATCAAGTGTATGGAGAGCTCTCTGCAACGATCCTGCTTAATTTCCTCGCTGGAGACACAGACGCCTCTAACGAAAGCCCCACGTCGAGCACTTGCGCCCGCGCCCTCTGGCAAGGCCTCTGCTGGCTCCAGGGTCAGGCGAGATGCTGAGAGCAATCTAATTGCTCCCTGCAGGTCTCTGCTCGGGCTTGTGCAGCTTCTCCGGACAAGCCCTCCTGGCAGCCGCAGCTCGGCCTTCTGGACAAGCCGAAACCTCCCTGGGACCTTGGAGGACCTCTGACACAGTCCGCCCTCTTCCAGGGGGTCCCAGTCCAAGCCTGCGCAAGAAGGGGCTGTGTGAACATTTTTTGGCACTCGGTGCGGGACCGCAAGCGCATGGCTCTCTTATTGATGGACTAGCGAATGCCCGTCACTGTGACTGGCTGTGTGTGTGTGTGTGTGTGTGTGTGTGTGTGTGTGTGTGTGTGTGTGGAGGGGCAGCCAGGATGCGAGAGCGGAGAGCCACACGAGGTCAAGCCAGCCGCCTGGCCAGTGGCCCATCCAATTCCCAAGGGGAAGCCCCCGGTTAGGCCCGGGTGCGGCATTTCTCACCCACTTGTGCTCCCCAGAAACCAGTGAACCAGCCCCTATGACCTCTTGCGGCAGCAAAGGGCACAGTTTCTCAATGGGAATCCTTTCCTCCTGCCTGTCCCAAATCATGTGCTGTTCAACAGTGCAGGATGTGGCAGGTTCAAGCTGAGAAAACTGCCACCTGCCCAGCGTCTTCGCACCAGGTGCACTCCACGCTCCTCCAGCCGACCAGCCCTCACCCACTCGTTTCCTGAGCTAAATAGACTCCGGTGTCGTAGCTCCGGCCCCGAACCATTTCCGTAGCCCTCTCCTGCACTCGGCCCAACTCTACAATATGTCTTTTTAGGCACAGAAATGCACGCCATTTTCCACGCACAACTGCATTGTACGTTTGGACAAGGGCTGTGCGGTACTGGCTGGTTTTCGCTTCCATTTCGTTCCAGAGACTGCCCAATATGGAATTCGCCTTTTTCATGGCAGCCATTCACCGGGTCGACACTTTCACAGAGCTATCCAGCACGACCCCTTGGAAAGATGCATCTGTATATATACATTTATTTATTTTTAAATGTATAGACCACTGAATAATCCGATAGGGCTCCATAAGTGGTATATAACAATAAAATATAAGACAAAACATTATAATTTCTAGTAACAATTTAAAAAACCCAACTGCTGGTAGTGCACAAAATTTTAAAACAGCCAGTTATTAAAATCAGATTCCAAAATGCCTAAGAAACAGGACAGGGCACCTAAATGAAAGCAGTGACGGTGCCTGGCAGACCTCTCTAGGGGGCCCACGCCAAAGATGGGGGGCAGCCACCAAGAGGGCCCTTCTTCTATTCGCCATCCCTCTCACTTGGTTTAGGGACAGCTCTTTCAGAAGGACCTCATGCCCAGATCTCAGTGGGCAGGAGGTTTATACAGGAAAAACCACTCCTTCAAGTTGGTGGGCATGTCGTGAGCGGAGCCGGCTGGTGCCGGAGGTCAGACCAGATGGCCTGGGAGGCCCCTTCTGGCTTGCTCTGTGTCTATGTTTCTAAGTGACCAGGTTCCAAGATGTCTATGCATGCACGCACGTGGAGCACAGGGCTCTCTCTGGAGGAGACTAAGCCATGCAGCACTGGATAAAAGAACAGGTCCTGCTCCACGGTCCCCACACCCAGGTGGCTTTGGGGACACAGCACATACAGCGTGCTCAGGAGGGTCCCTGGCACCTCCCTTTTAAACCATCCTGCACAGTAAGTTTGAGGAAGCCCCACTGGGGAGCCCCCCCCCCGCCCCCCGAGTAGATACGTTGGCCTACAACTTCCTTCACCCTGCTAGGTATTGCTTACCTGTATGATCCAGGTAACTTGCGGCAGGTCTAATCCACGAGCAGCAACATCCTAAAGGCAAGAAGAGAAAGGTATCTTTACGGGAGGCTCTCTGCTGATGGACCACAAGCATTCGTTTCATTTATTACTGGCTTCTCTAAGCCGGTCCCCTTCAAGCGTTTCGGACTTCAGCTTCCATCAGCCCCAGCAGGCACAGCCAAGGGATTGGGATGCAGGAAACTGTACCCGCAAACTCTGGAGTGCAGCAGTTGGGGAAGGGGGTTATCGAGATGCACCGGGTTTTAATATTTTTAGTGTATTATTTTTGTAGATTTTTTGTTGTGAGCCGCCCCGAGGCTTTGTTGCGATGGGGGCAGCATAGAAATGTTTTAAATAAATAAATAATCGCATTGGGTTTTGATGCAGCCGTTCCTCCAACTAGGGGCCCTAAAAGAACTGCACATTTTAGCCCTCTTTAAAAGCCAGCCTGCCCCCCCACCCCCACCCCCATTTGCTTTAAGTTCTCAAGTTGGTGAGGTGCACCAAAGGCTCCCCTGGATGGAGTTCTTCCAGGTTGTCCACACACAGGCAATGTGGTACACGGCTTCAAATTGGGAAAGATTAAAAAAAACGCCAGATTATCGTTTTGCAAAATACGGAATCCCATGTAGATTCATGCAAAGAGTGAACCAATGCACAGAAATGTACACATGCTGTTGATTCATTGCACTGATGTCCCGCCACTCATCCACGGAGCTCCCGTGGAACACGGAGTCCGCCCCACCCACTGTATCCTCACAACCACCAACAAAGGTTGGTTACGCCAAGGGGGCGTGATTCTCTGAAGCGCAACCAGTGTGTTTCAGGGCTTGATGAGCATTTGAAGCAGGGCCTTCCCAGCCTCACCATCTTCACTCCCTTTTTCAGTGCTTTCTCCACCTCTGCAACATCCCGTTCAGGTGTGCCGACGAGCATGCAGGTGCGGTCATGCCATTAATCAGCGCAACGGGAGGGTGATTATTCTGACAGGTTCACTTTTGATTCCTTTCTTAACAATACCTAATATGGAATTTCCCCTTTTCGCAGTCATGGCGCTCCGGGTTGACCTTTTCAACCGCATCCCCATGGAGGAGGGATGGTGGAGAGTCCAAGACCAAAGCGCGCGGCCCTCTTTCCAGCTGGACCTCCATCCACCGGCAAGGTGCGGATGGAGACCCAGACACAGGACCCCTGCTGAATCAGAAACAGGGCGGCATCTCAGCAGCAGACGGACTGGTGCCCCCTGGAAACGTAAGCGTTTGTTCACACCTCTCTGTTGACCCCCCAGATGCAGACTCCTCGAACTGCAGAATCTGCATTTGGTGACTCAGAATTCTGCTTCTGTTGAGAAACACCACCACATGCTGGAAGCAACAGCCTCAGGAAGAAACGGGATGCTGACTTTTTGCTTTTTTGCATGCTAACTCCAAGGACCTCCATCTCGTCCAATTTAACCCATCTTCACTCTGGTTCTGCTTTCCTTTCATAGTGCCAAAAAGGGGGGATTTAAGCTGGATTTGACCGATGACTTGAGCTTATGAGATGCCATTATGCCAAGATATTGGATTCAGTTTCAAGGAGCCGCTGAGTAAGACTGGGGGATTTATTACACCCAGCAGTGATCGGTGCAAGTCCCAGTCCACCTGATGGAGCAGATACACTGCCAAAAGAGGTTATTAGTTTAAGCCGATCAAGGCAGAACACCATGCAACGCAGTAATGAATATGCAAATACATCATCAGTAGATATATCCCTTCACCAGCAAGGTTTCCCACTCTTCTGGTGCAATTAAAGCCAGCTGCCTCCCAGCACAATCACACTCACAATCTGTGTGTGTGCATACAAGTGTGAAAAAGACAGAAAGACACACACACACACCACTACCTTGTGCTCAGTCACCTCCGTTTTGACACAGGCAACTGGGTCTTGGCAAAAAATTAAGACATTCCCACAAAAAAATTACTGGATTTTTTGATTAATGGGGCAAATATATCTGTACCAACACAACCATCTGATTTCCCAGATGCTCCAGGAAGAGGAGAAGAAGGGCGCACGCATGGCGGGTGGGGGAAGCACTGAGAAGGGGGTTAAATCAGAATTTCAGATAAAAGAGAGGGGTGTGCTTTTCAGTAACACACGCAGAGCAACACGGAGGCTGGAGCCGGTAACAGGAGCCGTCTGGACAGCTCTTGCTCCATCGAGTGGGCAAAGGTATTTGCATCAAGCCTCGCTCAGCAGAGGGCCACCCTGCGGTCCAGTCACAGGTGCTCCCCTCCTGAGGCACGTCTTTAGGGCCTAAGGGCTCCCGGCCCGCGGAAGTCCTGCCAGGAAGCGCCTGGCTGAGCCCCATCGTTCTGTCTGTCTGTCTGTCTAGCCCTGGGTTTTGCAAAAGTTGCAAAATATTTGTGTTTTTATCAGTTTTGTCCCTAGCAGACAGTTCCACCTCTTCCACCTGATCATATAAGTTACACCGGGTTGGCTTGCAGTCAAGCTAAACAGAGAGGAAGGTGGCTTCCACTTGCCTTCCTCCCCCCCCCCCCGAGTTTCTTCCCCAGCAGCCTTTCTTGCCCACTGAGCTTAGGCGAGAGCACGCCCGTCTCCTCCCCACCCCCTTCTCCTGCTCCGAGGTTGTTTCCCCAGCCCTGCCGAGTGCTCGGGTGCTTCCTTCCAGGCCGGCTACAAAGGGCAGTCTGGTCTCCAAGCTCAGACCTGGAATCCCAGTGATTGCATAGCCATTCAGGCTCAATCTAGAGGCAAAGTCTCTCCCCCTTAACAAACAACAGAAGCCCAAGCGTAGCAGCCTTTTGGAAAGCAACGACCACGGAGTGGTATTTGGGACAAACGAGCCAAGCTGCCACACGGCTCCGCCTCAAGAACTCTCCTGTGGGCCGACCGAACGAAAGCAAGCGGAAGCAATGCGGCTCCAGCACCCCGAGGCCGCATTACATCTTGAGCAGGTGCTCCAGGAGCAACCATGCTTCATGGGCGGCATCGGGGGCCTGGCGCAGGTGGGGCTTCTTCAGGTGGGGAAGAGGACCGCCGTGCAACACGGCCTCCTGCAATTGGCCGGCAGCATGACGCCTCTTGATTGGCCCGGCTGGGTACGAATACTGTGCCGCTGCCCTTGTTGAGGCCTGGTATCCGTAAGACCCCTGCGCAAGGGCGGAAGGGGCCTGAATGACACTCCAGCACTTCACCTGAGGGGTTCTGGGATGGAGGAGAGATGAACAGGCAAACCTGGGACCTGCCCAGACCCAGAGCCTGGAGGCCCGGTCCTCTCTCCACCCCTCTCGCAAATGCAGGGCAAATAAACCGTGGTAAAGTGGTGTTTGAAAGGCACTTGGCGGTGTGGCCTGGCAGCCCACGTGAGGCCTCGAGGTACAGATGGAAGGCAACGCGCTCAAGTGCCAACCTGTCAGTTGGATTAAAATGACTCATTTATTTACCAAAAGAAGCACACGACATGCCTCGGCTAAACAGGGGGAGAGAATGAGAGGCAGGGCTGGAGAGGGCCAAGGCGGAGGCAGGAGCTCTCGCGCCTTCCCGGCCTGCCAAGAGTCATTACAGCCGAGTGTGGAAAGCCGTCAGCGGGGGAGAGACCCCCGTCAGCCGGGTGACAGATTGGACTGCGCCATCGGAGGCGGAAGGGGGGAAGCGCGGAAAGCTGTCAGAGGGCGAAAGCGTTGGGCCGCGCCCGCCAGAAAACTGGCAAGACGCGTTAGCATGATGGAGTCAACCAGCAAGCAGACCTCCAAAATGATCTTCCCTCGCTGAACTCACTCTGAAAAGGACATCTCCCCGGGACGGCTGTGCAAGAACGTTGGTGAAGGAGAAAGGAAGGGAAGGGAAGGGAAGACAGACCGACTAACAGACAGACAACCCTGGCTCTTGGGAATCTTATTTATCTTACCTGGGCCAAAAATATAGGACAGTGCTGCTATGGCCACATCGCCTCCTGGGCGCTGCTGCTGACATGACCACCTCTACTTTGGTGCTGAAGTAGAGGGCATGCAGAAGGGCAGGGAAAGAGACCAAGGTTGGCCATCCTGGTTGCGAGAGAAGCAGGGTTTACTGAGCTTCAGGGAAGCTGCAAACCCACACGGGCCTTTCACTCTCTTCTCAGAAGGCGGCACCTTGATTCCTTTGAAGACAGGCAGTTCTGGTGGCTCCCTACGCCCTGCCCATGGTAGAAATTTAAAATTGGACTAAATACCTGAGAAAAGTGTTGTCCCCGGATGCAAAACCTCCTCCTGCCAAAACAGACACAGCCTACTTGCCATTAATCTCCACACATTCCCGAGGGCTGGCTGCTTTCCTCCACAGGTCTGTTTCCCTACTTGTGTTTCAATTATCAGGTCCCCTGCTGAAGGACACTCTCTTCCAGCCCAGCCCAGGAGGGCGAATGGATGCAGCCAGACCACGATGCTGGCTGAAGTGGTCACTTCAGAGAGGGTGGATTAGCCGTGCCTCTTCTGTGCATCAAAGCAGGAGGCTTTGACTGATGCCAAAAATGGGGACAGAGAAGAAAACAGTTTCTCCCTGTTTCTGGATGACAGTGCGTCTTGGATGCCGTCAGGCAGGCCGCCCCCGGGTTCAACATGCCGTGAGCTAGCAGGGGTGAGCAGGAGAGAGGAGGGCGCTCCGTTCTTGCACTGGCCACTTCCATTTCTGATCCACAACCTTCAGGCAGCTCTTTTATCGATGGCTGAGCTGTTTAAGAGCTGCACATCCCACTGGTCGGTCCAGCAACAAGCCACGGGCGAGCCACGGGTGGGCCAAGTAGCGGGCGGAGTGCGACCCCTGGGCCTGGCCTGCTGGGTCGCTGAGTCTGCCGTGGTTTGTGGCAGCAAAGTGTTAATTGGAGTAAGCTAAGTGGTATGCTTATTGCTTGATCAGGAGGTGACTGCAAATGTAATTTGAAATCAAATACATGATAAAAGTCATGTTTTACACAAATAGAATTAATTTATGGTGGGTGGGCAGAATAAGATGACGTACAGCATATAAGACAGCACCGGTCCCAATTATAAGATGGCACCGGTCCCGATTAAAGTCTTGCTTTTAGCATTTAAAGTCCTTAACAAGAGAGTGAGCAGCAAAGGCCCCTGGGAGGCTGCGGCTACTGCTTCCCAAGAGAAACATCACGGCAAACGGGAGATCATCCTGGCCAGAAAAGGAACAGACACAGCGAGTTTCTTTTGTCCTCCCTTGCCAAGGAGTAAATCTGTAAGATCTTGGAAAACAAGAGCTGAGCTTGTCTTTTTCCCTGCCTCCCTCCCAGCCCCCTTTTCCTCTTGTGTTGTATCTTTTAGATTGCAAGCATGAGACTGGGGTCAAAATGCTAAATAACATTACACAACAAATTTGCAACCCAGGTTCCCAAGAGAGCACCACCCATGTTCATCGCCAACTCGGGCTCTCCAAATGCAGGGGAGTCCCCACTTGTGGCCACCCCTGCCCTAAATGAGGTCAGCGGGCGGCCTTCAAGGGAGGACCTCCTTGGCGCCAGCCCCCCATTTCTGGAAATTCTTCCTAGCAGAGGTGCAATCAGTCCTCGCTTTTTAAGCTTATAATAAATACTTTTTAATGATTATTTTCACAAGCACTGGGCTCTTGATCTATGGAAGTTGGTGCTTTTAAGTTAGATTAGCCCCGCTGAATTAACCCTGATTGTTTTAGCATAAAAACATTATTTTATAGTGGTCTTATTGGTGTTTGTTTTGTTAAAATTGGAAGCCAATCTGGATGCTTTTTGAAGGAACAGCAAGGGAGACAGCCAGACAGACAGAGAGGAGGAGAGAAAGAATGTCCAATTTTTTCCTGGTCTGCAAACCTGCGAGTGTGTTTTTTCCCCAATACATGGAAATTGTCAAGCAAAACAATATGGTGGCAACCAGAGGAGGCCAAGAGCCCTTCAGCTCTAATGATTCCTGATTGCTGTAATTTACACATTTGCAGTAGGTAGCCATCACCAAGGTGCTTTTGTCTCCCTGACCAACAGCTGCCGCGATTAGTGAGCAAATTGTGTAGTGATGCAGCAGGCTGAAGCACCAGGCAGCCAAAACGGGGAAAGCGGTATTAGAGGGCTGACCGAACACCAGCAAGGGACAGTCGCCTTCTATCTGCCCTTGAAGAGCAAACTACAACAGGAAGGACCTTTCGAATCAAATGGGCTGCTGAGTTTTGCCTCAGGCCCAGCTTTCTTGATTCTCTGCATTCACCATGAGGACTAGCCACACTGCACCGTGGTTAGGAATCAACAGGACATGCAACAGCCACCAACCCTGCCTGAATACCTTCTCCTCTGAATCCGCTGTCCTTCCCCACCAGGTGGGAGGATCAATTAGGTGTTGGTCATGTTTGGTTACATCCAATTTGTGCTTGACAACTTACAGTACACAGCAAAACGCCAGTCTCTGATTGCAAGAAATCCTGAAAGACAGTCGTCCTCTCCTAAAAGAAGGTGACAAGGGAAAACAAAACAAGAGTCAGTACACCTTGCAAGGAAAATTCAACTCGCAGGTTAGGTTAACAAAGATTTTCACCTGGGTGGAACTAGCCCACTCCTAAGCACCAAGAAGGAGAAGGTTATGCAAACTTAATCTGAGCAAATTCGAGAAGTTTGCTTGGTTTTGTTTTTAATTATTTAGAATGCAAGCTCCTTGGAGTGGAGACCTAATTTTGGCTTATATGATTCTCAACAGCTATATGTGAAGAACATAAATAACAAATTGATTAAACCGGGGGGGGGGGCAGGCAAACAGATTAAAGTGGGGGGGGCAAATTACCATTTTTTGCGGCTACTGATTTCAGTGGCATGGGTTCCGTCCACCTTGCATTAAACCTTTAGTGAAGTTATTCTGTGGGCGCGATTTTAATCACCACGGTTGTTTTTGAAGGACTCGATTTTTTGGCTGGCCTGGCTGTATAAGGGTATGATCAGAAAAGGGGAGGGGCTGATAGTTTATGGGATCAGAGCAGGCATGTGGGGGGGGGGATCCAACCCTTTCCCCTCCTGCTACGGTCCAAGGAAAATCTTTCTTCTGAAGCTCATATTTGCTTGGGGGGGGGGGGGGGGGGGGGGGGGGTTCCCCCCCCTCCCCCCGGGGAAAGGAAGAAGAGAGAATTTTTTTCCGGGCGCGTTTTGGTGGGGGGGGGGGGGGGGGAGAGCCGGGGAGATCTCCCACTGGTGCCAAGGATTAAAGGAAAACGAGAAGGTTAAATCCCCCCTCCACACCTGCTCTGATCCGATTAAATCACCACCTGGTGCAATGTGCTTTGAAAAAAACTTGTACCTTAGTAACGAAAATGTATTTAACAACCCTCAGTTTCTCTTCTGCCCGCAGTGCCAGGAAGACACCAATATTTAGGCCAGACCAACATGCCGGCTGACTTAAAAATCACTCGATTGGAGCAGATTTCGCATTTGGACGACGGATTTGAGTGCGAGGGTTTGGGGGCAGGCGGGGGGGCCTGCCTTTCCTGCTTAGACTGCCTCGTGGTGGGGAAGGGGGTCAGCACCACAGCCTGCTCATACATCGCTGCAAAGAGATGCTTGCCCCTCTCTGCGCACCCCCACACAACAGAGGCACCTAACGGATGCGCCGGTGTTTGGAGCGTGGTGTGGCCAAGTCCGCTCCCCGGCAACACAAGCCGCACGAAGAGGGCTGGCGATGACGAGCACAGCCGTGCCCAGCAGCCCACGTGGCAAGCGTGATCGAGCTCCATGGATGCTCTTCCTCTGACACCGCCCGGTGCCAACTTCAGACAGAGTTGCAGCCGTCCAGCCTGAGATGGGAGAGGCACGTCCGTCTCTCGCCTCTCACAGGCCCAGGAGGGGCCAGGATCCAAGGGCAATGGAAGCACATGTTCCCAGGCACCCCATGGCAGGCACAGCCGAGAGCGGCGGCCTTCATCACCCTCCCATGCAGAAAAGGGGGCTCTGTGCCACTTGCTGTATGGCTCAGAAATAAAGCAGGGCTGCTGTGCCCAGGCGGGACGTTTCCTGGACTGGCAAACGGGTTCCTGAGCCATCCGAGAGGGATCTGGGATTTTCCCCTAGGTTGTACCCTGGAGCCAATGTCCAGAGCCCTGCAGCCTGGCGGGGGACAGCAGAGCAGCCAGCCCCACACCACCAGGGATCCCAGGGATCCAGAGGATTTGGGCCACGATCCTGCTCTGCATAAATGGTTGGGGGAAAGATTCCAGGCAAGGAGAATGGCCCAGAGCAAAGGGTGGGGTGCTCACCTCCTGCCGCATCTCTCCATGCAGGCGTACGAACCGCAAGGGAGAAAGAGAGGGAAGTCGGTCGGCCTCTGGCTCCCCACACAAGACCTTCTGGAAGAGGGTGTGGTGAAATTCCACCTGCTCACAGCTGGAGAAGAAGACCACCATCTTGCTGTCCTTCTCAGACTGCAACAAGGACACACGGGTGCACGGACATCGTCAGGGCTGAGCATACATCGCCATGCCAGAGGGACAGAGCGGGGAAATCCCACCGGAAGTGGTACCAAGTGCCGAATCCCCTTTCCCTGAGAACTCCAGATTTCTCACATAAAATACATGCTTCGAGACCCTGTGGGTCAAACCTATGCTGGACAGCATGTGGGCAAGCGGCTGGGAGTGGGGCTGGCCAGTGTCGCCACTGAGGGGAGTGAGGCTTCCTTCTCTGACCAGCTCCCTGTCCCATCCTGAGACTGAAAAGCAAGGCTCAAGCATGCCAAGGTGCAAAGCGGCAATATAAATTACACAGAATAAGAGCGCAGATAAAGCTGGTGGGATTTGGCTTTTGTCACAGTAGGCAAAATCCGGATTAACTAGGCGCAAGCTTATTTATTCTTTAAATTAAACAATACAGTGTCTTGTGGCAGAAGCTTTCAGAAGGAATAGAAGCAGCTGCCTTATCACAAGGAAAACCAGAGATCCTTCTAGCTCAGCAGTGTCAACATTGGCCTGGCTTAGACTTAAAGCTAACCTATGGCTTGTTCTCATATACAAGGTTTATTTAACCCATGGCTTCTTGCCCTACCCAGCGTTTGTCTGGAGACTATCAAACAAATTATGGTTTGTTTTCTCAATCCCTGGCTTGCCTTCTGCTTTCACCAGCTCCCTCCCTGCACCCCAGGTGCTTTTGCGGCAGTCTAGCACAGGTACGGAACAGCTGGTTTTCTGTTCTTTTGGGGGTTTTTTACTGCTCTCGTCAGCTGCCCTGCAAAACAACTCATGGTTCCAGGTTTGCACAGAACCCCCAGCTATGAACAAACCCAGAGTTCACAACCCATCAACAATCCATTATTTTGCTTTCTGGGATGTTTGGGGTTAACAAATCGTGGCTTGTCAGCACAGATGGATTTGCCTGACACAACAAGCCACAATTTAACAAGGCTAGCACTGTGTGCAACCCAGGCCAAAGCCTGACAGCTGCGCCACTCTAGGGAGCCCGGGGCGTCTTTCCCACCCCTAACAGGAGAGGTCACAAGGAGGACCTGACCCCGTTGCTGTGCAGAGACACTGCTGAAAGAGAGCAGCGGTTCCCGCCGTGTCCCGGCACCCCCGCTCCTCTTCCACCTGTGAGAGCTGGGAAGCTCCAAGCCGGGTCAGTCCTGGTCTCTACCTGTGTGCAGCCTCTGCGTCACCTTTGGGGGCGGGAGGGAACATCCAGGCTAGCTGACTGTAGCGACCTCTACATGGGGCGACCCAAGAAGACGGGTAGGAAATGCTCAGCCAGACATCTGACCATATACTGCCCTTGTCCAAAGAAAAAGTATGGACGAGGAAGGGACATGCCCCACACACCTGCCCAGTGATGGGGGGGAAGAGCCTCACCTTGAACGTCCCAAGAATAAAAGCCGCCAGTGTCACCAGCCTCAGCTTGCTCGGGACGACCACAACGTTCTGCTGGAGTTCTCCCGGCACGGCAAAGCACCCCCCCTCTACACTCGCGGGGGGAGCACCGGCTGCCTCCTGAGTGTGTGCTTTGGCCTCCGACGCGCTCGAACCCTGGGCTTCTCCCGCGACAGCAATGCAGACGGGATCACGCAAGCTGATGCTGGCCAGTCGCGAGACTCCTGTGGCAGGCGGGGGAAGCAACAGCACTAGTCCAGGTGCAAAGGGGGAGAACAATCTCTTCTGCTAGCCCAAAGCCTCACGTGTGAACCCACAGAGCGGCTGGGAGGGTAAAGCGTGGGGCAGCTGCATTCATCGGGTGTGACTTGGCTACTAGTCCAGATGGCTCAGTGCAGGGGGAGATGGGGGCAGGGGAGCTGTTCCTTCACGCGTATCCTGCTTGTGGGGAGCCGGCTGGGCTCCGAGTGGCTCTTCTTAGGTCCTCAGGCTCCACCTGAGCGGTGTAAGTTCCTTCCCCAGGTGTGGGAGATGAGGACCCTTTCCGTGCCAGACAGGAGGCTGCCCCTGAAGCAAGAGGACAAGCCCGGACAACCAGGCCATTGGCTAAACCCAGATTAGGATCCCATCCCGTCCCAGAGGTTCCCCTAGCAGCAGTCTAGCACAGCCAGGCTTGCTTAGGCTTGGCCAGACGCTGCTCTGGAGGCCAGATGCCACCTCTCCCCTCGGCAGCTCAGGGCAATTAGCCGTGGTCACAGCACTCTGGGGCAGTGTGGGGGGAGCAGGTTGCCTGCCATTGCTGGCCCCTCCAGCTGATGGATGGGCTCAGGCTGACCGTCTTCCAGCAGAAGATGGGGCGCATGGCCCTCCCTGCAACTAGTGCCCAAGGCCAGTGTGCCTGCCCCACACTCTGGCCATGGAGAAGCCACTGGGCTCTCCAGCAAGCGTCTTCAGAGGGCAGCTGCGGCAAAGCCCCCCACCCCGCCCCCCCGGTATCATCAGGGTGCTGTTGGCCAGGGCCGCCCAAAACCTCCCACTGTTCTGCGGCCTTTGAATAACAATCAGGCACGGCAGTCGAGATGGTTTTGTGGGTAGCCACCTTTTAAGGATGATTATTTTAACCAATGATGCTATGGAGGCAAGCAAGAAAACCAAGATGGCAGCTGCAACTTGGGTCACCGGAGGCCCATCGGAATGCATCCTGCTGAGAGCCGGCTACATCCAGGAAGCGGACCTGCCTCAGAGGGAGGAGGAGGAAGGCTCCCTGCAGCAGGGGAACCAGCGGCTGGACCCTCCTGCCTCCCAGCCAGCAGCAGCCTCAAAGAAAAGATGGCTGCCACTGGGGCACTTACCCTCTGTAAGTGTGGCAGACAAAAGAACATTCTGCCGCACCTCACTGCCGGCGTTCAGGGCATTCAGCACTGCGGCCACAGCCTTCTCAAAACCCAGATCCAGGATCCTGAGCCATGGGGCAGAGGTTGAGAAACCATTAGGGCGGGTGACCAGACCTCCTCTGGAGCCCCGTGTCCAATTCCGAGCACCAAGATTCAAGGAAGGCACAGAAAAATCGGAAAGGGTCCAGAGGAGGGCAACCAAGATTATCTCAGGTGCTCAGAGAAGGCATCCTGCCTCCCTCATGGGCAGATCTCCCATCAACAGGGACATGGCCCCTTACCTATCAGCCTCGTCCAAGATCAACCACCGGACCCGGCGGAAATGGATGCATTTGGTGGAGTTGATGTGGTCCACCAGGCGGCCAGGTGTGGCGATCAGAACATTTATTCCTTTGCGAAGTCTGTTTGGGAACAGAAGTGGATCACAGCTGCAGAACAGGCCTGGTTCTGAAGGAACCCCTAAGCGGGTTCGCATGTTTCCCCCACGGCCTTGGTGCTCTCCTGGTTCCCCCTCCTCCGCAGATGCACGCACTTCTCTGTTCACCACAGGTGGCCTGTTGGCCAGCACAGCAGAACCAAACAAGCCCCCACTGGCAGCGAACCCAAACAGGCAACCCAGGCACACGCAGAGTTTGACAGGTGCAGCTGCTATGGCAGGTAACACTTCTGCCACGCGGACAAGGAGCTCCAGCAGAATTGGAGTGAGCAGGCAGAGGGGGAAGAGGGACTGGAGCCGCCAGACGCTTGTTCGTGGCAGCCGAGCCGTACTCCGGGGTGGGTGCCGTGGGATGCCTCCTCCAAAGCAAAAGCCTGCAGAGGTGGGCAGGCTTCAGGCTCGCGGGACTGTCTTGGTTCGTCTTGGTTCTAGAACACCAAGATCCAAAGCGATGTGGAGCTGGGCACTAAACACGTTCGGTCAGATTGGATGAATTCAGAGCTCATGAACCGGGTTGCAAAAGCAGAACTGAGCAGCGCTCTCAGGGCTTCCCAGGGCCAGCCCTTGCAGGAGACAGAGGGAAAGCCGGCCTCAGGCAACAGGCCCCGGGAGGTGGCAGCCACATGCTGGAGGAGACAGCGGTGGGCTCAGGGTCGCGGGCCCCCTCCAGGTTCAGAGGAGGCGGCTGTCCCATCCTTGGCATCGAAAGGAGCTTCACCCGCCAGTCCAGAGGGCTCTTGCCACTGAAAGCCACCTGGTCATGGTCCCTCCACACGCACAAATCCGCCACCCCAAGCTCTCATCATTTCAGCAATATCATTTGTGGTGAGCAGGGAGTTGCTTTCTTCCTGATGGTGCTAAACAACCGGGCCAATCTACAGCCAATACCCAAGAGAGCTACCAGTATGTCCAGAGGTACCTTCTGCCCACCCATGACATACGCACATTCTTGAAAAATAAAAAAGCAGGCTTTTCCATATGCAAATCCAATTAAAGAAGCGTAAAGGGGCACTCGGGAGGCTCATAAATGCCATGTCCCATTATCTTTATTACGTTAAGGTTACAACCAGCCGTCCATTCAAGCAATTTCCATTTCAACTGCATGACCAGACTGCCGGATTGGACAACAGCATGATCTCAAATGTCCTTTTCTGTCTCCCCCAGCCAGCAAAGACATTCCGTGTTTCTCCTGTATTCCAAAACCATCTGCTAAGCAAATGCTCGCAAGAGATCAGGATGGCATCGGCAGATTTGGAGGGGTGGGCAGGGCTGGGGGGGAGTGGGTGCAAGCAGGAGAGAAGGAACCCTACGGATGGTTGAGGAAGCTCATCAACATTTTAAAAAGAGGAGAGATGTGAACACACTTCCTGCTGGGCTGGCCGTCCCACTTTCTGTAAGATCCGCGGCGGGGGTGCTCACAGCCTGATCCGGAGTCACAAGCCCCTCTCCCCACTTAAAAAAGGCACCCTGGGAGAGAGTGACAGATGAAAGAGATGGAAGCAGAGAGCACAAACTCAAAAAAGGAAGAAAGAAGGAAGCGGGGGAAGGCGAGGAGAGAACTGAATTGTATGAAGTTCCCGTCCTACCTGGCCTTCTCGGATTTCTTTTTTTCTCCTCCCATCAGCACGCCAGGCACAATCCAGGTAAACGGCTACAAAGAGCAGGAAAGGGTGGGGGAGGCACAGAGCGGAAGAAAGTGAAACTTTGACAAAGAGAGATGTCAGAATCTAAACTCCACTCTAACATGGGCAGCCCTGGCATTCGACGATGCGAGACTGAGTAAGAGCGGACCAGCTTATCTCGAGGACTAAAAAAGTACAGAGAGGCAGCGGATCTTCTCAGAGCCTTAGAGAAGTGACCGGCAGTCCTACGACGCACCCTTGGTTTGCCGAAGTCAACAAAGCGGGAGGACAGGCCTGGCTGGGCCTCACATGAACGGTTCCTGGTCCACACGGGGGATCTTGAACCGACAGCATCCATGCGGGCAGGACTCTGCCAGGTCTTGGGCTCCACGAAAGAGGCTTTATGTGAATGCAGCGATCGGGGGGAGGGAGCATGGTGGAACCCTCCCACCGTTGGGAGCTCCTCTGGCTAGAAGCTACCAGGGGTTTGGGGAGAGGAATTCTCCTCTCATCTCCACATACAGAGCAGAGACAATAAGGCGATCACTTTGGGAGCAGCATCTGCTCCTGTGTTGACCGGTGCACCCATTGCTCAGGTGCTTTTTCTTTTTTAGTGACCCACAGAATAACTCAAAAAATAAATGGGTGCCCCATCACAGGACACATTCCACCTAAGACAACAAGCCCATTTCCAACGCCATTGCAGGACCACCCCGTCCAGGGGCTCACACAAGATCTCTGCTCCTTTGAATCTCTCTCCCAGGATGGCAGAGGAAGCCGGGGCAAGAGACAGAAATCCAAACCCCTGCCCCCACCCCTTACCTTTAGCAATTTTTGGATGGCTTCAAAACTCTGTAGGGCCAGCTGCAGAGAACAGAACAAGGCATCCTATCAGATCGAGAAACGCAGGCACGTATTTGCAGCAGAACACCTTCAGCAGGAGCGTTGCTCTCAAATGTTGATCCCCTTCGCTCTGAGAATATCCAGTTGTGACTTTTTTTGCATGTTACATTTGTCGTAAACTTGTGGGGTCTCAAGCCGACAGAACCTGGAGCCCAGATGTTTTATTCCCTGCACCCCCATGAAAGCTCGCAGGTGGAAAGAGCCGCTGGTCTATGTGCCGGCACTGGGGCTGCCAGTAACGTAGCAGGTGGGTGACACAAAGTGCCTGTGGAACTCCTTTTGGTGCTACGCAACTCTGGCTCATTACTCACACCTGGCACCTTCTTTCTCTGAGCTGCGCAATGTCCCACTGGGTCTCCCACCAACTGCCGCCTTCAACTACCTGAAGCCAGATCTTGGTTACTTAGCCCTTGGGTGAAGGGGAAAGGGACCCAGAACACAAGCTGGGCCTGGCGAATCCTCTCGCGTCAAGCCCCGATGCAGGAGGGGCGGCGCCGAGAGATTCGACCAGCTTGTGCTCAGTGGACTTTCAGCACCTCGTCAATTTGAGAGCCCAAAGTGGGCCAAGTTGGAAATCCTTTTGTGACAGCCCCTTGCAAAGCGGGCAAACATTTTGCGTGTTTTTTCAAAGCCAGGGAAATTTCTGTAAATTCCAGCCACATTTTGCATTAATTCCTAACACAGTATGTGTGAACTGAAGCCTGGATGTATAAACATCTCTCTGCCTTCAAAACCCCCTGCAAATCGTACTCTGCTTCAAAAGCAGATCGGCTGCTGACTTGATTCACACCTGAATGAGTTGGTACCAGCTCTGGATGGACAGACCAGAATCCCGGCCTAAATATCAGAGCGCGGGCAGCCCTCAAAGGCTGGGGGAGTCCTCTGTCCGGAAGATCGAGTGGCCACCCTCTCGGATGCCCCCGCCAGTCGGAGAGACACGGCCAATCACGTGAGCCCCGGGCACCCGTGCTGGCTTAGTTGCTGCCCACGGACCCCATGGCAGCCTTCGTAAGCCAGGCACGATCAGCTGCAAGTCAGCACCTCCCAGCCAGCTGCAGGGCAGGCAGGAGATACCCAGCACGGTCCCGCGCACATCGCTCGTTGCAAAGCCAGCGTGGTGGGGGCCATGCACAGACGCTTCGCCGCAGGGCTCCAGGGGCTCCGAGGCCAAGCTCCAAGGCGATGGCAGGCCAGCGGGGCTCCCTGGGAAGGAGGGCAGGATCACTCAGGAGGGCTCCTCAAAAGGGAGCTCCTCATGCTCCGGACTCTTGCCAGAGAGCTCTACTGAACTGAACTGCAGCTGAGCTCTGGGGAAACAAAGCCACACTGGTTCACGCCTAGCATCTCGCTTCCCTGACCTCGGCTCATGAACGGATCTTTGTGTTATTGGCCTCTGGACTTCTAGGCTCTAAGTTTGTGATTCCCAGTGTGTTTGACTCTGGCTGCTGCAGGGACTTCTTTCTGGAAAATCCGTATTTGACAAGTAAAACGGTGACTGAGCTTTGATCACTGGACTCCTCAATTGCGCCCAATGCCGCGTTTTGTTCCGCACACCAGCGAAACTAGTTGCAGCGGGACACCAGGAGCAAAGTAGCCACAGAGGTCCGGCAGCGTAACTTACCTCTCTGGTTGGAACCAGGACAAGGGCATAGGGGCCATCGCTGCGCTGTGGAGGCAAAGGAAAGAAGCGGAGGATTGAGAGGCCGAGGAGAACAGGGGGGCACGTAAGAGGCAAGCGCTTGCCATCCTGGATCGATCCAGCAACGGCTGTTTCTTACGGCAAGCTTCTGATGGGGGTGGGATCCTCCCTCCCTCCCTCCTACACCAGAGTTGACCCGATTCAGAAGAGTCTCCGAGTCCTCTGAACAGGATTATCGGGGGCTGGGCAAGCTGCCGTAAAAACGAGAAGCAGGGGGCTGGGTTTCTGCCAGTGCAGTGGATCTGGAGTGATCTGGACCCCAGAGAAGCAAGGGATGCCTGCTGCTTTAAGCCCCTGCTGGCAGCCTTTCTAGCTGACCTACCTTCCAAGGTTGTTTTGAGTATTAACTAATATGGACAAAGTGCTTAGGAAAAGCCCCGCACGTTACGCACCTGTATTTTGGGCTCCGTTCCTTGCAAGGACTGTACAAGAGGGACAGCGTAGGCAAGCGTTTTCCCTTCGGAAGGCAAGTGGGTGGAGGAGGAGAGAACAAAAACGTGTTTAGCCTTTTATCAAAAGGAGGAGGTGTGAGATTTTAACGGCCCATCGCCATAGATGCATGTCGAGAAATGGACCATTCCTGCCCCGTACCATCTCGCACTACAGGCCTTGATGAACCTTATTCTTAGGAGAAAGATCATCGCTTCATGGCAGAGCACCTACCTTGCACGCAGACGGCCCCAGGCCTGAACCTTGCCTCTCTATGTAGGGCTGGAAAAAGCTGGTGTATTGGGAACTACAAATACCATCTGCCCCAGCCGGCAGAGCCAACAATCAATGATAAAGGGAGGCACAGTCTGACAAAGATCTAGAAAACACCAGGACGCTTAACGCTGCAGATACTGTGTTAAATGGACCGACTCTGCGTAAGGCGATCCCTGTGTGTACATTCCTGTTGAAATGGGCCGAAAGACAGGAGTGGCTGGCTCCAGCGGGAGAGCCCCCGTCTCACTCTGCAGGCCCCACGCCATCCCACGCTAGCGAGCCCCAAGGAAACAACCAGCTCACCTGACCCCGTCTGCGACCTCACCAGGGCATCCTTGCCTCGCAACAGCACAGGAATGGCCTGCTTCTGGACCCTTGACAGCAGGGCAAAGCAGAAGGCATTAGGAACGTTACGAATTGTTCTGCTCATCTGCCTGGCTGCAAGGGGGCTCGGGCCGGCCAACCGGCTACCTCTATGCTTGAAAAAGAAGACTGTGGACTGAAGAGCATAGGGTGCGACTCCCCCACCCAGGGCCTGCCAGCTGTGCTGGACTACAATCCCCATCAAGCCCAGTCAGCATGCTCTTGCGCTGGATGGGTCTCCTCGGAGCTGTCGGCCAAACACAGCGTGAGGGGCGACGGGCTGAGAAAGGCTGTGGCTGCTGCTGCTTTTTATTTATTCCTGAAGAACCTCTTCAAAGCAGTAAGGGGGCAACTCCATGGCCCCACACGATGCCCGAGGGGAGATGAGAGACTGGGCTTCCCTTCCTCCGCATCCTGCCTGTGGGAGAAGGGAGATCCCACCCCACCCCCAGCAGCCAGTGCAGAAAGAACCGTGCTCACCGACCTCTGAGGTCTGACAAGCAACATCACACATGGGGCATTTTAGTAGCTGGGGGGCAGAGGAGAGTTATTTGTCCATTGGATTTATATCCCACCTTTTTCTTCCAAAGAACTCAAGGAGTCTTACTTCAGTCTCCTCCTCTTATCTCCACAACAACAACCCTGTGAGGTAGGTTGGGCTGAGCCGCTGTGCCTGGCCCAGAGTCAGCCAGTCGGCTCCATGGCTGAGCGGGGACTCGAACCCGGATCGTCTGAGTCCCAGTCCCACGCTCTTCACCACTGCGCCACACTGTCTCTCTGGGAATGCCAGGGCGTGAGCTCTCCTGATAGCTCTCCATCTGCTTCCGCCCCCGCCGAAATGTCATTGCTAGATGAAAGAACCTCCCCCCGCAGCAAACACCGCGGGAGGGTGGCCAGGATCATGCCCACCACTCTTTCCACCCCACACTGGGTGATCAGACACCTCCAGTGTCAGGCACTTCTGCCCATCAAGGCATCAAAATCCATAGGATTGGGCTAAGAGCCTAATTCAGCCTGAACAAAGCGGGGGAATGGCGGGTTTCCGTAAGCACATGCATAAATCAATTCTTTGCTTTCCCAGCCAATGACCTCGCACGCACACACGCAAAATCTTTTACCTGGTCATGCTACATATTTTCAAGACGGACGTTATTGTTGAAACCTGTTGGAAACAGATAGTCACTGTGTCAAATGCTTGATTCCAGAATGGCAGGTAAATTTTTGATGGCGCCACGGCAACAAAGGCTGTATGATGCTCTCAGAGCAAATACAGATCAGAGAACTGGCAAAATGGATTCAAGAGGGATAGTCAGCATCAGGAACCGTCGGAGGCAGTTCATCTGGGCACCTCTCAGGCGTCAGGATGTCGCTGTCCTCTCAGGACTCTTGCACAGAGTGAAGGGTTACATTAGGAGATTTCCAAGAACACTCTCCAACTCAGTAATTCTGATTATTAACTATATTATTACTGAAGATAACTCCAATTGAAAGAGAAGGAAAGGTTCCACTAATCTCAGTGCCAGATAAGGAGCTACACAACAAGATGGTAAAGCTTCACTCTTGAAGCTCCTGGTATGTTATTCCACTTCGTTGCACACATAAGCTGAAATACGAGCTAAAGGCTGCTTTTCACGGAAACATGGGTGGTTGTGTTGTGTGAATCCAGCCATGCTAACAAACCATGGTTTGTTAACCATGAGCCCAAGCCATAACTTGCTGGACAGTGAACTGTGGATAGCAAACCATGGCTTGTTATCAGGACTGGGTTCACACAACGAGACCCATGGTGCAACAAGAACCCACGTGTCAGCCCTGAGTTGGAGCACAGAGTTGAGCGAGGGTTTGCTGTGTTGTGTGAAACCAGCTGCTCACGTCTTTCATCACAATCCCAGTGGCAGCTAAGTGATGAGCCCAGGTCCACACTGAACAGTTGACCAGTTATCCCTAAAAATAAGGGCTCAGGATGTGAGAAACAGTAAGTCTGCACCATGGTGTCAGCCACATGCTGGGCTCACAGCTTAACCCCCTGCAGGGACTTGTGCAAAAAGCAGATACGCAGCATGAAAACAACGAGGCACAATCCGCGTGCCTCTCACCTGATGCCTTCAGGTCCAAGGGTTTATGCGCATCCCACAGCCAAACCAGCTGCGGCAGCAATGACTGAGCCTCCTGCCAATTTTTATCTAGATGGTTGTTGTTAGCCATGTGGGTAAGACATCCTTGCGGGGTAGGGAAGGAAGCTGCATGATGAATATTCCTTGTCCCAGTCTCTTCCCCTTCCCACCTTTCCCCACCCTGCATGCTCCTTCTTCTTGATGTCCCTCTGCAAGTACCCCAAAGGCTGCCACAAACAGGAAGGTCAGGATCGCTTCCTGCGAATGCCAGAGTGCAGAGCACAGAATAATCAATTCAAGCTGCGACAACCCAGATTCAGGCTGGACATCAGGAGAAGCTTCCTCACTGTCAGAGCAACACGACAGTGGGACCGGCTGCCTGGCGAGGTGTGTGGGGGGGCTCTCCCACACTGGAGGCATTCAAGGCGAAACTGTCCTGCAACAGCAGGGGGTTGGACTTGATGGCCTTCATGACCCCTTCCAACTCTTCATTCTATGATTCTTCTCTCCAAAATGTATTTGTGATCTCAGGGAGGTATAAGCTTCTAGCATAAACACTTGTGCAATACAGCACATTTCATCAGATGTGTGTAATACTGTGGGGAGAGTCATTTTGCAGCTGCTGTTAAAGCAGCGAGTGTCAGAAATGTCTGCAAATCTACTGCAAAGAACCTGAAAATTCCCAGTTCCACTGTTTGCTCACTTGTGCTGCACAGAATACAAAATATACTCGCCAAATGAGGATGGAGGCCCAACTGATCAAAGGAATCAGAGGTGAAAACCTTCTCCTGCACTTGTTTCACTGAGGTCCTATAAGAGAAGTGAATAAATTAACAAAGACAAACTGATCAAGCCATCCTTATTTGCACAAAAAGTTCTCTGTATAAAATCTTCACTGCACTATAGGGAAAAAAAGAAAATTGAAATCACAATAAAAGTTAAATCAGATCCTCTCCCTTTCTAATAAATACAACCATTGGAAATACTTAAACTTGATACCTAACATATTTATTTTCATTTGTCAAAAGCATACAAACATTCTTAAAATCTGACATGTCAGGGCAAGGATGTTAACGGGATAAAAATCTCTGTGTGCACCTTTTTTGGTCTCAATTTCCCCCTGGGAAACAAGAACTTTCCAACATTGATCAAAAAGGAAGGATAAAAATAAAATACCTCTGAATATCTGGAATCTTGGGATTGTTTTTGAAGAGGCAGGAAGTCTTAACGAAAGGCCTGCTGCTGCCTACATTGCTGTCTTTTGTGTCTGTCAAAGGCTTCTTTGGAGGAAACTTTGGCGACCCATCTTGCTTGATGCCGCTTTCAGGTTTCTTTGGTTCTTTCTTGATTTGGAGTGGAGAAGCTAGCTTCCGCTTTAGGGGGATCCCTTCATGTACCCATTCTGATGTTCTCTTTACGGGATTAAGAAGTAAAATGAAATAAATCAAAACAAAACAGAGAACCAGTTTAGTGTCAAATGCAGGACTGAGCTACAATGACCCCCCCCCCCCAGCATGCACGATGAGGAGCTGTGATATTTTAACTGTTTTGCTCACACCAACAAAACTGTGGTTAATTGATCAAAGAAGAGCTCTTCAGACTGCGATGGACAGTTTGACAAAACCCAGTGTGCAGCTTCTATGAAAAAGGCACATTCCATGTTGGGGATTATCAGGAAAGGGATCAAAATAAAATTGCCAAGATCATGCAATCTTTATACAAATCAGTAGTGCTACAACTCTTGGAACACTCCTGTATTCCTGCACCTTAAAACAAGTATTGTAGAGCTGACAGACAGACAATCAAAAAGGGCAACCAAAATAATCAAGCTAGAGCAATCACCCAATAAGTAAAAGTTGCAACATCTAGTGCTGTTTGGCTAGAAAAAAGTGAATAAAGGGAGATGATATGAATCCACCTCACAGCCATGTGGGACCACAACGTCCCAGGATTATGGGAACTATATCCTGCCCATCTGGAAAACACTCCATGGGAGAAGGGTGCAAGACACATACCTTTCTGGCTTTGCCACGCTGTGCTTTCGAGGTTCTCCTCTGTCCAGTGGGGTGCCGAATCCCTGGAGGAGGCACAGAGCTCACGTTGATGAATAGCTCTCCGTCCGCTTCCATCACTGGCTGAATCAACCGCTTCTGCAGGAGGCCCTGCTATATGTCAGAAGCAAATGAACTCCGGCTTTCGGGGGGCAGAGGACACCAGCTGCTCCCCAGAGAAACCCTCAAGCCGGCGATTCCAGAGACAGAATGTGCAACTAAGCAGAGACCCACGTGTAGCTGCTGCAGTAGAAGGACCCCAAACATAGGTGTCTAAGAAGTTCCCTTACCTAAAAAAGAGCAGAAATGGGAGTGATTTGGTCTGCTTTAACTTAAAGGGTAGCAAAAGATAAATTCCGATTAATAGGGTTTTCTGTTTGTCCACATTATATGCAAACTAGTGGAATCCTCTTCAGAACCAGCACGGGGCTGCAAAGAGACATCTGGAATATTTTAAATCAGCCTTCTCTTACCTGGTTCCCTGCAAATGTTTAGGACTACCATCAGCCTCAGCCAGCATGGCCAACTGTCAGGAATGCTAGGAGTTGTAGTCCAATGTTTCTATAATTGAAGAGGCTTTAACCATCCCCAACCCGATGCCCTCCTGATGTTTTAAACTCAGCCTAACTTACTTAGGGGAGAGGAGGACCAGGAAAGCCAATCTTGGATTGTTTGCAAGAGGAAAAAATGCAGCCTAGAAGTGTAACGAATTATACAGTCCCCCACTTGGTCATGACGCTCACTGGCTGGCTCACTGACAGTCAGGCTTGCCCACCTCACAGGGCTGTGTGGAGGATTATGTAGGCCACCTGGGGTTCTGTGCAAGAGGAAAAAGTGGGGTACGTGATAGATAGGGGGGCAGAATGCAAGGCTCGAGTCCCCGCTCGGCCATGAAGCTCAGTGGGCAGCTTCGGGCCAGCCACTGATTCGCATCCTAACCTACCTCACAGGGCTGTTGTGAGGATGAACTGGAGAGGAGGGAGCCCACGCGAGCCGCTTTGGGGTCCTTACCGAGCGAAGGGAAGTTATAATGCACAGAACTCCACCAATACTGCTGTTTCAAGAGGTCCGCGCCTGCGGCGAGCTGCGCTCAGGCGGCCGCGTAGCCACCCCGACGGGGCGCCGCGAGGGGTCCTTCCGCGTGGCCGCGCGCGGCGCTGGCGCAGGCGCCCTGCATGCCGAGCGGCGGCGCAAAATGGCGGCTGCTGCGGAAGGGAGCCCGGCGCCGCTGCCGCCGCCTGACGGGGACGGGCCGGTGGCGGAAGAAGACGAGGAGGACGCCTTGGCGGCGGCGGCGGCGGCCGGCCCCAGCAGCACGGGCGGCGGCGGCGGGAGCAGCGCGGGGTTCCGCCTGACGGCGGTGCGGCGCGAGCCGGCGGTGCGGCTGCAGCACGGCGTGAGCGGGCTGGAGCCGCTGGCGTGGTCCGAGGACCACCGCGTGTCGGTGAGCACGGCCCGCAGCATCGCCGTCCTCGAGCAGCTCAGCGACGTGCACGGCGGCGCCGACCTCGTCATTCACCGCACGGCCGTGCCGGCCCCCGCCGCCGCCTGTCACCTCAAGGTGGGCGGAGGGACTCTTTTCTGTTTCGGTAGCCGTAGGGGCCCGCCAAAAATATTAATAAAATGGTTTGACGAATGCACCCATGCACTTTATACATGGAATTTTCGTTCTTTCATTAGGGCGTGAGCTGTTGCTTAGGCTGGTTTATGTACTCCAGGGGTGGGCAGTCTGTGCTTTTCCAGGCCTAGCTGTAGCCAGGATTGTGAAGGGTGAGGACTGATTGTAGGCCAAATCATCTGGATGACCACTGGTTGTCCACCCCTGAAAGCCTGTCGGTAATAAACAAGTGAATTTTATTGCTTTAGCAATCTTCTGTTCATGCTGTTTTTTCAAAATATAGAAAATAAAATAACATTCTGTGATTTTTTTTAAAGGCAAGGCATGGTTGGCTAGTAGGACTCACTGCCTCAAGAGAGATGCCAATGCAATGCTCAAATGAGTGAGAAAAAAGGAGCATGTAGGATGACCAGGGGTCCATCCAGCATTCATTGCACATGTTGGCCATCCAGCTGCCTATGTAGAAAGTCCCCAAGTAGGGCATGAGTGTAACTGCACCCTCCTGTTCCCCAGCAGCTGGTGTGCAGAGGCCTCTGATCCTGGGGCACTGATGCCTCAGGACCAAGAGCTATTGATTGCCTTCTCCTCTATGAAATTCTGTACCACGTGAAGAAGGCCTCCCTTTTTGTCTCTCTTGAATCCCCACCAACCATACACCTGGGATCACCTTGCTGGGTTTTAGTATTATAAGAGGAAAAGTGGTTAATTGTAGACTTCCAGGTGTGTTGGCCTGCAGCTTCAGTAAGCCATAGCCAGAGGTTGAGGGATCATGGCGTTGTAGGCCAGAATATCTGGAGGATTAGAAATATCCCACCCCTGCCCTGTAAGAAATCTACAAGCCCTACCTTTGATTCCTAGTTTAAGCTAAACCATGTTCTGTGCATACATATACATACACACCTATCTGTAACTCTAAAATCAATAGTTTGGGGGGGTGCTTATTGAAAAGCAAGGACGTGAAATGCCCCCATCATAGTTAATAGTCTATGAAAATTAAGTAGAACGTACACATTTGATGGCAGTCTATCTCTGATATCAAATGCAGGGGATAAACAACAGGAAGAAAGCCATTGCACTGCTCTTCTTCACAGATGTCCTGTTATAAACTGTTTTGATCAAGTATGTGGGCTCAGGGGAAGCAGACCCCCTGTGAGTACAGCACTCACAGTTAGCTCTGGGAATTATCAAGCAAGGCAGGCGTCGTACAGGACCTTGGACAGCACACTGCAGTGGGTTGTTGCTGGAGTATTCTCATGGAAGCAGCTGCAGTTCCAAAGAGCAGCAGCCGCGGACTGAGGCCTGAAGAAGGCAGCCCAGGCCTCATCTTCACTGGCTCCACCCCTGCTGCATACTGACTGCTTTTTAAGGAGCTTGTGCCATTCCATGTTCTGCCAGTCCATCTTCCTGCATGGCTGAGAGACGGGGGAAGCTGCAGGGCAGTTATCCTCAGAATCAGGCAGTGGGACCATGATGGCCTCAGCAGAATGGTGCAGTAAGGCACATTCTGAGCTGACGTCTTTTTTGGAGTAACACGGAGACTCAAAGCCAGGAGTCGTGCTAATTACATGGATCTCGGTCTGGACAGAAGGCAATTGTCAGGTTCCTATGAGACCAAAAGTTCAGACGTAATAGTGGTGTTTATTAATTTACTGTTGTTATTGTTCAAATGATTTAATGCTTTGGAGGGTTCGAAACCTGGACAGACTTGCTTCATCATACTCATCATCAGCATGTGACAAGTAGGCTTTTGCTAATGAAGGTTCATTTGCTCGGTTTCATGCTTCATTTGAATACACAAATGAAAGTACCGCTTTTTTCCTGCAGGTTGGCTCCAAGAAAGAAGTTGCTGAGTGTAAGGAAAAGTTTGCCAGCTCTAAGGATCCGACAGTGAGCCAGACGTTCATGCTAGACAGAGTGTTCAACCCCGAAGGGAAGTCACTGCCGTCAATGCGCGGTTTCAAATACTCCTGCTGGTCTCCCCTGGGCTGCGATGCAAATGGCCGGTGCCTGCTGGCAGCTCTGACCATGGACAGCAGACTGACCATCCACACGAACCTGAACAGGCTTCAGTGGGTGCAGCTGGTTGACCTGACCGAGCTCTATGGAGAGCGCCTTCATGAAAGCAGCTACCGGCTTTGCAAGGGCGATGGTCCCCAGGCGGACTTGGGAGACTTTGCCGAATTCCAGAGAAGGCACAGCATGCAGACCCCGGTGCGTATGGAGTGGTCCGGCATCTGCACCACCCAGCAAGTGAAGCACAACAACGAGTGCTGGGATGTGGGCAGCGTGCTGCTGGCCGTGATCTTCGAAAACGGGAGCATCGCCATCTGGCAGTTCCAGCTCCCGTTTGTAGGCAAGGAATCGATCACGTCCTGCAACACCATCGAGTCGGGCATCAGCGCTCCCAGCGTCTTGTCGTGGTGGGAGTACGAGCACAACCACCGGAAGATGAGCGGGCTCATTGTGGGGAGTGCCTTTGGGCCCGTTAAGATCCTGCCGGTCAACCTGAAAGCGGTCAAGGGCTACTTTACGCTGAGGCAGCCGGTAGTTTTGTGGCAGGAGATGGACCAGCTGCCGGTGCACAGCATCCGCAGCATTGCCCTGTACCACCCATACCAGAAGTGCAGCTGCAGCTTGGTGGTGGCCGCCAGGGGATGCTACGTCTTCTGGTGCCTCCTCCTGATATCCAAGGCCGGCCTGAACGTCCATAACTCACACGTGACGGGGCTCCACTCGCTGCCCATCGTCTCCATGACTGCCGACAAACAGAACGGCACCATCTACACGTGTTCTGTGGATGGGAAGGTCAGGCAGCTGATCCCCATCTTCACGGACATTGCGCTAAAATTCGAGCACCAGCTGATCAAGCTGTCTGAAGTGCTAGGGTCTGTGAGGACTCATGGGATCGCTGTGAGCCCATGTGGGGCATACCTGGCAGTTGTCACGACAGAAGGCATGACCAATGGCCTTCACCCCATCACCAAAATCTATCAGGTTCAGTTCGTAACACTGAAAACGTTTGAGGAGGCAGCTGCTCAGCTGCTGGAATCATCTGTCCAAAACTTGTTCAGGCAGGTTGACTTGACAGATCTCGTCCGCTGGAAGATCCTGAAAGATAAGCACATCCCACACTTCCTACAGGAAGCTTTGGATAAAAAGATGGAGAGCTTTGGGTCCACATATTTTTGGCGCTTCAAACTATTCCTCTTGAGAATTTTGTATCAGTCGTTGCAAAAGGTTCCCTCTGAGGCCTTGTGGAGGCCAACACACGAGGACACCAAAGTCTTAATAGCACATTCCCCTGGGACAGGCACCACTGAGGAGCATCTCCGAGATGAGGGGACATCAAAGCAGGGCAGCAAGCCACGTGTGGGGGAAGCAAGCAAAGGAGCGGATGCGGATGATCCAGCAGAGGATCCCCTCGTTCACGCGAGTGACACAGGAGGGCGGGAGCCGATGGAAGACAAGCTTCTGGAACTTCAAGCCCAGATTGAAGCAGTGGAAATGCACCTGACCCGGGAGCACATGAAGCGAGTGTTAGGGGAAGTCTACCTGCATACGTGGATTACGGAGAACACCAGCATTCCCACAAGAGGAGTCTGTGACTTCTTAATGTCTGATGAAAGCTACGATGACAGGACAGCCCGGGTAGGTGCATTCTGATGTAAAAAGTGTGGGGTTGTGTTCAGGAATTGGCTGCATTTGCTGAGAAGGCTGGATTACTGTTAACAAGGAGTGCCGGTGCCTCCAGCCCAGCAACTCTACTTGGCTCCTCCCACTTCTAGAAGTGGCTGCGCTAACCAGGAATTAACTAGGAAATGGACACTTACTGCTACATCTGCATCCAGCCTCTTCTCAGCCGTCCCAAAGTGCAGGGCATGGAATATTGGCTTCAGATACAAGAAGGCAGATTCCTGCCCTGCATCAGGAAAAGCTTTCTGTTAAAAGAGTATGACCCTGGAACCCATTACCTAGGGAAGCTGTGGGCTCTCCCACAGTGGAGACATTCAAGATGCTCCTGGTCACCCACTTGTTAGGGAATGCTTTAAGTTAGATTCCTGTATTGAATAGGAGGTTGGACCGGATGGCCTCACTGGCCCCCTCCAACTCTTTCCGATTTGACTGCCTCCTGACAAACCAGCAGATGAAGCTGGGATTTGATTGAGTTTCCCCATTCTGGATTGGCTTGGGAAGCAACCAAATGGGGTCCAGCTCTGGAGGTACTGGTATTTCTTGCTCCATAGTTTAGCCCAGTCTTCTCCAACTTTGTGCCCTGCAGATGTGTTGGACCACAACTACCTCATTGATAAAGGTGGCTGGGAATTACATGAATGAGCCAGAGGGCTACAGGTTGGAGAAGGCTGGTCTAGTCATTCCGTCTGCTCTAGGCATTCCATCTAGTTCAGGAGGAGCTAAACTACTCATGAATGATAAGCTCAAACTTTCAGCAGTTCTCATTTGTTACATGTTTGCTGAAAAGCAACTAGAAATCAAAGTGCAAAAAAGCGCAAAACAACAGTGCTTGGCGTTTGGAACACCCACCTACCAACAGACTTGCATCAGAATGGAGGGTGTTAGAGGGTGGTGGTCTGTGATGCCCTTCCTAAGTTTAAAAGGTTTGGGAAGACCTTGAAGATAGAGATCATCTGGAAAGTGAAATGTAAATGATTATAAACAAGCGTAACATTTTAAAATCTCCTCAAAATGCCATACCATGAAAGATGTACCCTTGCATTTTTTTGGCATTTTGCTGAGGCTGAATTTTTGAAGAAGTTATTTTTAGATAACAACATGACATTTTTGTGGAAAAAGAAAAAGTTATGTGGTCAGGAGTTGACACCGAAACAATTGATGCCAGAGAGGGAAGGATTATTATTATTAGAACATTTCTATGCCTTTCTATTCTATGCCTTTCTATTTCTATGTTGTTCTTATTAATAACATTATTATTATTATTAGGATGGATGTGCCAGGGTTTTGTTCAGGTAAAACTTGGCTATGTTAGGATGAACAAAGTCTTTGGGGGACTCCGCCTGATGTGAACCAGGTCAGAGTAGCATAAGAGTGAAAGCAAAAGATAGGAAAACTGAAGTATCCCCCTTCCCATTATTAAAATGTTGAGAACAACCTCTACTTACAAATGAGCAAACCTGGAAGTCCTGCCTTTTCCTCAAGTGGCAAGAAGAGGGAGGGAGGGAAAAAGTGGCGAAAATTGGAACTAGTTCCACCACTGTAGCTTTTCATACTCGTGAAAAACTAGCATATCCAAAACTGTGTGTTTCGGATCATGTGGAGTTAGTGTTGCCGTCTGTAACTTTGTACTGCATTTGGTTTGTAACCATGACTCCAAAAAGTAAATCTGATGCAGGTGGAGGTGATGCATCAAAGAAAAGAAAAACAATCACGATCAGAACTAAAAGTGGAAAAAAATAAAGCTATCAGAGAAAGGTGATACACCATCAGTCACTGGGAAAGCATTAGGCTTTAGTTGTTCAACAGTGGGTCTCTCGCTCTCGCCCTTGTACCTGTAGTTAATTTATTTATCTATTTATTACTACTTATTATTAAAATGCTGTATTGCGTTTAAGATGTTTTAATGTATATGGAAGTGTTTTATATGCTTTTTATAAACATGATCCAATGTACATACAAATTCAACTTAAAGGCGATCTCAGGAATGGAACTCGTTTTTGACCCAGGGACCCAGTGTGCAGAAAAAGTAAAGAAGAAAACAGAGTGGCATGGATGCATTGACATAATGGAGATAAAGTGATATATGGGCTCTGTGTGTGTGTGTGCGTGCACACGTGTGCCAATGGAGGTTAAAGGTGGGTCTCTGTTTTGGGAAGGTGAGGGGCTCCTGTGCCGAGGAAATTGCTCTGAACCTCATCACTGTATGTCCTCCAGCATTTGCATCCTGGCTTCCTGGGTAGGCCTGGTGGTGTGGGGAAGGCCCCATCACAGAATGGCTCTTGGGGTCCCCTGCATCCACAGGCAGGTCCTACAAGACACAGCTAGAAGGGACTGAGGAATAGGAAAATTGCCTGCCTGGCATGCATATTTCGTTCAGAGTTGACAGAGGATCATCATAACTCCTGTTATTGTTGTTTTTAAAGATTTGTAGGAGTCAAGACAGCAACAGTTTTCCAAGGTGACAGGTGCTGGCAATTCTTTCCCTCTTCCTGTTGAAATTTAATGTGTAAGCTTCTCAGGGCAGGCACCTGTCTTGATCCACTTTCCCCTATAAAGCACTGCATCCCTCTATAGTTCTGCATCAATAACAGTAGTGCGGTTCAGTGATTGCCAAAAGCCTGTTTCTCCCCACTACAGGTACCGAGGCATCTAAGACTTGCACATCTACTGATGTCAGAAAGAATGTTCAGAAATATTTTGTCGTGTTTTCTGAGTGCAAGTACGTGCTTTGAGGCAATGCTGCTTTCTTTCTGTTTACCTGTAGCCATCGGTTCCCTGTTTCTTCTGAGAGGAGGGGGGTTCGGGCAATTAAGTTTTCAGACTACCTGGGCAACTTGCAGAGAAGTCACTCATTCTGTGTTTTGCACAGTGGAGATGCTCTGTCTCACCTGTTCATTGCATTGTATTCCATTTTGAAGCAGGTTTAGGCTTTTGCATCTTGTGTTCTTCAGAAAGCTCTGTTCGCACTCCTGTGAGATTTCTCCACTTTTCAGCAGGCAGCTGTCTCTTCCTATAAGCACTGCTGCTGACTGCCTCTTGTGTGTGCTCCCAGGTGCTGATTGGGCATATCTTAAAGAAAATGAACAAACAGACTTTCCCAGAACACTGCAGCCTGTGCAAAGAGATCCTGCCGTTCACCGATCGCAAACAGGCGGTTTGCTCCAATGGACACATTTGGCTCAGGTAAGACCAACTCCCAGTGGGCGTGCTCTGGAGCTGGGTTTCCCTTTTTTCCAGTTTAGCCAGTTGGAGATTGGACAATGGCACTGCAATTATGAAGCGTGTTTCCGCACAGTGAGGGTAGGAGGCGGCCAGACCTGTCTTGTCTCTGCTTTCATGAGCAAGTCAGCGAGAAGGCAAGGTGCCTCACTGTCTTTCAAGTGCTGGAGACGTGTGGCTCGTAGCTAGACAGGGTGAAATCCTTCTAAATGCTGTTCTCAGGCATCAGCAGCTGCCTGCCTGGATGCCTAACTCACCACTTGCTCATTCTTTGCCCTTCTCCTTACCTTACCTTCACAATAGACATCAAAATACAGCTCATTTATTTGGAAGGATGAAGCATCCCTTGGAAACGAGTAGGCATTCAACACCCACATAGTGTTTCCACATCACATTTACCAGCCTGTGTTGCTAGGGCAGAACCATGCATCTGCATCATCTCAGTTACTTTGAAATTATGCTAAAATTCTAGCATTGTTCTTGTATTTTAGTATGTGCAAATTTAGTTCTGTAAGCTGTCTTGGGGTTCCAGGTTGAGCTGAAAACCAAGGTATAAATTCAGTAAGAATATATTAAATAAAGGAGAAATCATGGCATAAAACTGTACATACTGTGGCTGAGCATTTCAGCTCATCACTACCAAAATCTATTGCTTGCCTGTGTTTAAGTGGAACTGTCTTTGAAGGTCTAATTTGGATCTGCCAGAGTGGATTCTAATCTGCAGAAATCTATGCCACAGGATTCACACTCACTCTGACTTGACCTTAGTCTTTCTTGCCTTCTTCACTGACAGTGATATGGGTTCTCCAGGAAATTAGTTTTCCAGTACTATAAAATTAGTTTGGCTTATATTTCATACGAAGCATTCACCTTCTTACTTTTACATGCTGTAGAAACAACGTACTTGTTTCCAACGCCCCAAGTATTTTAAAATTGGATTAAGGGAAAATAATTAAAGAACCTATAATGTGATTTAAATGTTGTATTCAAAGCTTTGCTTGGAAAATATTTTTATTGGAATATTTGTAAGTACTGTATTTGTAAGTAATGGTAGCACTGGCATAGGAACTTCAGTTGATGGGGCTCCTTAATCCACAGGACTTGGACAGGGAGTGAGGAAGCTTCTTTCTGTGGAGCACTTGAAGGTGATCCGTGGGGAGCTGCATGCCCGTGCCTGACTGGGCTGAAGCCAGAAGAGGGGAGGGGGAGCAACATGCCCGTTCCTCAGTTTCTCCTTTTGTCTCACTGACCTTTGGGCTGCGGGGAGAGAGACAGATCGCTTGTCCTCTGAACTAACTGTTTGCAGAGGGCATTTGGAGCTGGGCTGTGATCTGTTCACTATGCATGGTGAGCTGTAGTGATTGCTATTCAGAGTAGCTTGGATCTAGATGAATTTAGTGGAAATCAGGTCCCACTGAACTCCGTGGAACAGATTGATCATAATGTGCATGGAGCCCCACAGATTTCAATGTGACCCAAGCTGAACTTTGTCCCGATCCAGCTTGATATTCTTGATATTCAGAGGATGGGAAACATGGTATTCTGAGAAGTATCTGACCATTAAGCATTGCCAAGCTTTCCCATAATTATGTTCTTCCTTCACCAGGTGTTTTCTAACTTACCAATCCTGCCAGACTTTGGTGTACAGAAGATGCCTGCTTCGCGACAGCATCGCCCGGCATCCAACCCCAGAAGGTGAGCTCTTTCCTTTGGGTACGGAAGTGTTGGTTGCTGCATGACTCCTTTGCTTCAGGCAGTTAGCATGTAATTCCCACTTAGTCTTGGTTCTACAAAATCTAGATATTCATGGGGTCAATTGAGTCTCCTTTTCCGTTAGTTACAGCCATGCGTTTTGTTCCTTTATGTCAAACACAGTTTGAGATTTTGCCAAAGAAGCTACACTCACTGGAACTGGGTGTGATCCTCTTTTTCTCCCTCCTTCAAGAGACAAAAGGCAAGGGAAACACCTGTTGCACAGAATACCGTTTGGCTGGCCCAGTGCTTTTAGAAAACAATTTGTCTTTTCCAAATACCCTTTTTTGCAAATGCTGTTTGCTTCATAATCACCCTGAAGAAATTTTTTTAAAAAGACATAAAAACAAACAATGCTTATTTCTTCTTCTCAAATCATTCTTCTTTTCAGATCCTGAGTGGATCAGGAGGTTATTACAAGGACCTTGTACTTTCTGTGACTCTCCTGTTTTCTAAGGAACAACGCAAGACAGACCGAAGTTTCTTTATCTAGTGCACAAAGCACCGCCTGGCCTGGAGACCAGCTGAAGGAAGAGGCCGCCCTGAGCTGGCTCAGTGTTCCGTTCAAGCGTGAGAGGCAGCAAGACTCGCTGTTCAGAAGGCACGGACACTTGGAAATCGTGCCAAGCCCAGTTACAAAAACCCCATGGGAACAAGCAAGGTCTGATTTTGGAGTAGCGTGCCACTGACCTCCGCTTGCCTTTCAGTTGGTGACAGGACACGTTCCTTGCAGCGAGAACAGGAGACTAAACTTGGTGGATCCATTGGAGGTCAGCCTATGGCACTTCCCTTCATTAACTTCTAGCACACATCAGCCCCGCTGTACCAGAGACGATTAAATTATTAGAAATAATGTGTTGGTTTTCAACATGCTTTAAAATGTCTTGCATGCCAGTTGTAGTCAGTGCAGGAAAAAAAATGTCATTTCTGCAGAGGTGAAGGAAACCATCCTTGGCTTCTTCCAGGAATCCTCTGGCAGCTGAATCTCTCTGGGCCAAACGGAGGAAGCTGAGCCTTGAAAAGCTAATTCTGGTAAGGCAGCAACGTGGCATGTTATGCATAGGACCCTGTCCCAATATACCGAAGATCAGTATTTTTAAATCCAGCTTGCCTTGCTCCTGCCAGTGACCCTTTTTTGAAATCGCCCCACCCCTTACCACACAGTCACTTCAGATTCCTACTAGAGTCACCGAATCTCTCTGCCATTTCAGAAGGGACCCATCCTGGCACCTCGCTGGGCGTTTCCACCCTCCTTCACTGCCAGCTGCAGAGAAATCCTGGGTGGTTATTGGCTGGGACACTGACTACACCCAAGAATTCCTCTAGGACAAGACTAGTTGCCCCCAGCAGTTGTGGGGGTCGGCTCACTCTGCCTAGCAAAGGGGTACCTGCAGCCTTGTTAATCAGCCGTGGCAGGATGCATTGGCTCTTTCAAATGAGCTGCCTCGGGCTCAGCTTGAGGGACAGCGGAAAACAACATGTGGAATAAACTAGGCGCTGGGGTCTCTCAGGGGCTGCCCATGGGAACCACTGTGCCTTTTTAACATCCCTCTCGGCCCCCTCCAAGCTCTCTCCTCCTCCTGACTATTACTTGATCCTTTATTTTTTAAAATTAAAAATGTGCTGGCAGGGGAGTGTTGGCGTGCTGTAAAATGAACAGGTGTCTCCCCTGCATCTTAATTCCATTCCAAAAGGCTGGCTCGGTGTCTCAGAGCTTCACCCCACCTCTGTCCTGAGCACGTTGAACGTCCTTTTAGCCTCACCTGTTTGCCTTGCAGGAAAGAATGCTTTGTGACCGCCCACCCGTTTTTTGAGTGGGCAAGCCCCACAACAGCCATTTGGCGAGGAAGCGCACAGGAGGCTCTCGTTGCTGCAGATGTGGCTAGCGAGCCAGAGAAGGTTGCGGGGGCACTCGCTCTGGTCTAGGCACGTGCGAGAGGTCCTGGCTGTGCCCATCCAGCTAAGATCAAGGGCAGTCCGTTTTCTGCTTTTCCAATCAAACGTGAGGCTGCTCTCCAGTTAAAACACCACCCACAGAGCAAAGGCTAGGAAAAAGCCGAGGCGACAGTGGCTGAGAGCCCCTAAGATGCCAAGCAGCTATCCTGGGTAAAACTGGTGAACATCCTTCCCTGCCCAGTGCCCTCCAGATGTGCTGGATTGCAACTCCCAGCATCCCCTTGCCAGCTACATTTGTTTACATGCACATTCCCGTCTCTCCTGCTGGAAATTCATGGCCCTGCTGGAAGAGCGAATGCTGCTTCCCCGTCATCGCGTTTCCCCCACGTTGCTCGTTGTGGGAAGTCATTCGCTGCCTGCTGAGAGGGCCAAACAGTCCGCATTAGACTGTACTGGGTTAATTGGATTAAAACAGTGTAAAAGACTAATTAAATATTGAACAACGCGATCTCCTCACACAGTAAGTCGAGCAAGGGCGAGGAGCCAATGGAACTGAACCCTCATCTATCAGCACTACTAAAGAAATCTAAACTGCCACAACAGATCAAGCAAAAACAGGTCACAAGCAGGACAAGCACTGCACCTGTTCTACTCCAAAACCAGACTCAAGATCCTTTGTTTAGAATCCAAACAAATCTCGGCTCCTCCTTTTTCTGTCCTTGTCTGCCAAAAGGAAGAAATTGGACAAAAGCGAAAGGAATGTTTCTTCTGTCAAGGCTGCATGCAAAAATTGGTCAGAGCTCAAATCATCAGGTACCCTTGTCTCTGCCATTATCTTCCCTCTCTTTCTTCCTCCCCTCTCGATGGCAGGGAAAGGAAGAACTTCTTGCCAGAAGTCTGAACTAATCACAGAGGCCATTTGAAATTAGGCTGAGTGCCACGGGGTGACCACCCTGGGCTAGCACTTAAGGTCACAGACAAACCTTACATCTGGGCTGGAGGGTAGGAACCCTGGGGAGCATGAAAGAGAATTCTGAATTCATCCAGCTTTTCAGCTGCCTCGCTGCCTCAGGACCATCAGCTCAGGACCATTGAAGCCTTTCATATGTCAAGTTAGGCTTGCGAATGTGGTTGGGTACCTCATACTGGGATCAGCAGTCATCGTTTGCTTTTTAAGTTCATTGAAGTTGCTGGGCTCATGGAACTTCATGTATTCTTGAGCAAGTTGCCTGTCTCTTGATTTCTTCAGCTTTAAGAAATGCCATCTTGTCAAAATACTGGTTTGCTGTATTAAAACAAGGTTGACTCTAAAAGGAATTGATAAAATGGGAACAGCTCCCCCCCCCCTTCAAAGATTCAGTGCTTCTCAGGGGGACAGTATCTCCAGGCTTCCTCTTTGTTTTCTCCTTTTGCTTAGTGATGGGATGCTCACCAATTATAGTTTGTTTTTTTTTAATCCAGGAACAAGAAACGGTAGGCAATGCCCAGGGACTGTTTTGTTCCCTGGACCTCCTGCTAAGGACACCTTTCCATGGGGCATTCCTTCTGCCCAAAAGCAGGCCAAAATCATCAGTTCCCTGCTGAAATTGGATAGCAAACCACAAAGTTGTACCACAGTTGTTAAATTTAGCTTCTTTCCAACTGTTTCGGCATGACCAAGCAGCCACATGCACCTAAAGGGCCAGGATTCGCTTGCGAAGAAGCTAACGCTGGCTCTTGGGCAACTCCGTGGCACCTATGCACTTCATAGTCCAGTTCTGAAAAGGCACTGTTGTTGAGGAGTGGCGGCGGCGGCAGCCCTGAAGTAGAAGCAGGGGGTGTTACAAAACCGATGCTGATGCTGAATCAGACTGCAGGTCCATCTCCAGCCTGTGACCCACTGTGGCCTGTCAGACCCTCCTCTGGGAGTCTGGCCTGCAGAATTCCGGGAGACTTTCTCACTGATCATCCTGTAATCCTCTTGCAATGGATGTCCCATGATATTTCCAATGGCGACGGGCTGAATGCTTTATATATAATTGTTGTTTGAAACTTGTGATGAACGTACAACGAAGTGCCTCTTTGCTTAACACCTATGTGGCTTTTCTCCCAGCACAGGCCTCTAACGCTGGTCTTCGTAGAGCTGATAAGGCAGTGCAGGGTTTAACGAAGAGCCAGCTCAGCTTGAATGTCCAGACAAAACCAGGCCTCTCTCCCTTTAAGGAACAGCAGAAGCTGTGGCAAGGTACGGAGCAGGTATTTCTGAAAGGTGACTTGGTTTGTTCCTGGACCAGCCCAGTCTCATGGAGGGTGCTATTTTGCTTTTGTGCAGTATGCAGCATAATTATGCCTCACAAAGTGTCCGTTTGCTGGACTTTTGTGCTGTATTGAGCTTCAAAACCTAGAGAATTCCCAACAGCTGCTTAGTGGTTCCCATTTTTAAAAGAAATGAAAAGAAATTTGCCCCTCTTTTTATGAGGCAGGAGTTGGTGGACACTCTCAGACCGTGTCCTTTGACTTTCACAGTGTCACTTGCACGGCTGGTTCTCAGCAGTGCACAAGAGGAGAATCCAACTAAAGTTAAAATTTGCACAAGTAGCTGTACACCTCGTCATGCAAGTGTAGCGTGCAAGTGTTTGTGCAGTGGGGAGATCTTGTCATCATTTCAGTGTGAGAAATAGCCGTCGGATGCTGCCCCGTGTCTGCTGTCCTGATGGATGGTGTGCGTTTGGGGACGGGGGCTTGCATGTCGGAAGGATGCTGGCAAGCCACAGGGCATCTCTGTGCGGGGGCGTATTTCTTCCCTGTGGGATTTCTTTCAGTTAGAGGCAGGTTCCCCCGCGTTGGGGTGGGGGACAGGTTTCCAATCACCTCAGAGTCATTCAAATGCAGTATTTTGCTTTTGTTCATGGGAGCAAATAGCATGTCATACTTTACAGTATATCACAGAAGTGAGTACACCCCTCACCTTTTGTAAATATTTTATTATATCTTTTCATGTGACAACCCTGAAGAAATGACACTTTGCTACAGTGTAAAGTAGTGAGTATACAGCTTGTACAACAGTGAAAATTTGCTGTCCCCTCAAAATTACTCAACACACAGCCATTAATGTCTAAACTGCTGGCAACAAAAGTGAGTACACCCCTAAGTGAAACTGTCCAAATTGGGCCCAAAGTATCAATATTTTGTGTGGCCACCATTATTTTCCAGCACTGCCTTAACCCTCTTGGGCATGGAGTTCATCAGAGCTTCACAGGTTGCCACTGGAGTCCTCTTCCACTCCTCCATGACGAACGACATCACGGAGCTGCTGGATGTTAGAGACCTTGCGCTCCTCCATTTCCATTTCAGGATGCCCCACAGATGCTCGATAGGGTTTAGGTCTGGAGACATGCTTGGCCAGTCCATCAGCTTCTTTAGCAAGGTAGTGGTCCTCTTGGAGGTGTGTTTGGGGTCATTATCATGTTGGAATACTGCCCTGCGGCCCAGTCTCCGAAGGGAGGGGATCGTGCTCTGCTTCAGTATGTCACAGGACATGTTGGCATTCATGGTTCCCTCAGTGAACTGTAGCTCCCCAGGGCCGGCAGCACTCATGCAGCCCCAGGCCATGACACTCCCACCACCGTGCTTGACTGTAGGCAAGACACACTTGTCTTTGTACTCCTCACCTGGTTGTCACCACACACGCTTGACACCATCTGAACCAAATAGGTTTATTTTGGTCTCATCAAAGGACATGGGTCCACTAATCCATGCCCTTAGTCTGCTTGTCTTCAGCAAACTGTTTGCGGGCTTTCTTGTGCATCATCTTTAGAAGAGGCTTCCTTCTGGGATGACAGCCCTGCAGACCAATTTGATGCAGTGTGCGGCGTATGGTCTGAGCACTGACAGGCTGACCCACCACCCCTTCAACCTCTGCAGCAGTGCTGGCAGCACTCATACGTCTATTTCCCAAAGCCAGCCTCTGGATATGACGCTGAGCACGTGCACTCAACTTCTTTGGTCGACCATGGCGAGGCCTGTTCTGAGTGGAACCTGCCCTGTTAAACCGCTGTATGGTCTTGGCCACCGTGCTGCCGCTCAGTTTCAGGGTCTTGGCAATCTTCTTATAGCCTAGGCCATCTTTATGTAGAGCAACAATTCTTTTTTTCAGATCCTCAGAGAGTTCTTTGCCATGAGGTGCCATGTTGAACTTCCAGTGACCAGTGTGAGAGAGAGCGATAACACCAAATTTAACACACCTGCTCCCCATTCACACCTGAGACCTTTTAACACTAACGAGTCACATGACACCGGGGAGGGAAAATGGCTAATAATGCCCAGTTTGGACAGTTTCACTTAGGGGTGTACTCACTTTTGTTGCCAGCGGTTTAGACATTAATGGCTGTGTGTTGAGTAATTTTGAGGGGACAGCAAATTTTCACTGTTGTACAAGCTGTATACTCACTACTTTACATTGTAGCAAAGTGTCATTTCTTCAGGGTTGTCACATGAAAAGATATAATAAAATATTTACCAAATGTGAGGGGTGTACTCACTTCTGTGATGTACTGTATATAGTTAAAGAGAGTCACTAAGGCAGTAAGGGCTGAATCTGACCCAAGCCGCTGGGGACCCTACTAAGCCCATCCCATCCTTTGCAGACCTCACCTGTTTCAATTTGTGGAGCCACATTCTGGTTTTGTTTGCTGGCCAGAATAAAACAGTGGCACAGAGCCTTTGGAACTGTCTCGTACATAACAGATTCAGCACCTCTGATGTACCAAGAGCTTGGCTCTTGGTGTGTGTGTGCAAGCTGCATACTGGAGCGGGGGTGACTTGTAGCATTTCTACATGATTGGTGTGTGGGATTCTGTGGAAGATGACACAAGAAGGAGCCAGAGGGAAAACTGGAAATACGATGCTGGATCTCGGACCTGCTTCTTTGTGAGCAAGGGACTTTCCTGGATAGGCAGGACTCTGTGCACAGAAGACCTCTCCAGATGGTTTTGGGAATCCCCACAGACTCCATAGCTCACACCATTTATGCTGTGTAGTATTCTTAGGGGACTAGACCAGGGGTGTTTCCAATGGTTCTGGAGATATTGTTTTCATACTGATCCCATAAAAGATTGAAGTCTAAGTGAAAAACTATGGGTGGATTGAAATTCCATGCTGACTTAAGTTGACTTCCTCTTCTGGCCCATTTTATAAAACAACTAAATTGGCATAGCAAGAGAGTTAACATAGCAAACCATCATTCTCAAGGAGAAAACTCGTTGAAAGTTAGGACCTGTAATCCGAAAAGGTATGAGTTTACCCGCGAGCTCAGCATAAAGATCAAATTTTGTTATGTACATTTACTGCTGACTGCCAAATTTAAGTAAAAGCAGAGACGTGGTCTTCTGCATCCTTTAAAACACTGTGATGCAAAAAAGGAGTATGATTGAGGTTTATTTCCTTAATTTAGTTAGCCCTTTTGTATCTTGTTTAATAAACAAAATAAAATCAGTGTGTTGTAGAGAAGGAATGTTAAACTCGTCAGCTTTTCCATCACCAATATGACCAAACTCAACAGCAGTGACAAAACACGGTGGTTGCTAGTATTTTCCAGTCCTCTTTGGGATGGTACATTACTGTGAATATTAATTCTGTATATATGGTTGACTTCTTTTGTAAACGTGAAACATTATCTGGAGAATGTGATTTGTATACTGCAACAGTAGCACTTGTTACATGAACCCCTTTCTAAATAAAGAGATGCACAACATGTGTATTGGTGTCAACACGTACTTTAACGAAGCGGGAGAGAGAAGATTATGAAAGCACCTGGTTTTTTGGTGATCCAGGAAAACAGTGCTTTCTGTTTGGCAACAAGCCCAATGGACAGAGCACCGAGTGTGATTACATAGTACCTTACCTTACTTGTCTGTGCCCTCCACCTTCAAGCCCAGTGCAGTGAGACTTAACAGAATTCTGACAGGTCCGAGGTCAGCATTCTTGCTGGCTTCTCTGAACCTTTCTCCTCTCCTGGTTGCTGAGATGGTGACCCGCCTTGCTTTCCGACCTGCAGATGCCCACACAAATGGCATCAGCATGGCTCTTCAGCCACAAGCAGAAGGACCAGCAGCAGGAAAGACGAGAGCAGCTATAGGCATCTCGAGTGAAAACCAGCACGCAGGCTGTGCTCTGCTGAAAGGAGGATTCAGCACAGAGTCCCCAGCTGCAGGGACCTGTTGAGTGCCCCACCCCCAGGTGTACACTTTACTCCCCTCCCTGTTAAAATCCCCTCCCTGCTGGTAGCATTTACGTCATTAGTATTATTGACATTGATATTATTCTGCCTGTTCCCAGGACGGAGACCCATTCCTTGCCACAAGGATTCCTGCATCCCCTGTTCTGGGCACAGCCTCCGTGCTGGGTGGTGACACAGTTCTGCAAGCCTCGTTCTGATTCCTGTACTGTCTGGGATAGCTGTTCGCCTTGTAAGAAGGGGAATAAAACTCAAAGCAGCACCCTGTACTTTCAGCAGCATGACTGGGGGGCAGAACAGGGCTTAGCTGCTGTCGTACCATAGCTTTTGCCATCCCTGCCCACCTCTCTCCTTTTAGCAGGCAGTTCTCCTGCGCTTCCTCTTCTGAACCCTTAGGGACAGCTAGCTACTAAAAGAGAAACAAGGTACATTGGATACGAAGGGGTGAAGAGGACCGCTGGTGGCTCCTGCGTCTCCGCGAGCCTGCTCACTGACCGTTCCAGCTTTCCCTAAATGGTCTTCAGGGGAACAGTATCCTTCCGGCACTCCACGAAATGAAGTGTGTGCCCGAGCTGGCTGCTTCCGAGATTCCTCCAACCGGAGGCGGGAACAGTGCACAGGAAAGGCAAGGTTCGCATTCAGCTGCCTTAGGGATAGTCCGAGGACAGCTGCACCTCAAATGGCATCCTGACATTCAAGAGCTTCAGAATCAGTAGCTGAAGATTTCTGACCCAGGTGGGGCTCCTCCCTCCCCACATTTCCACTGCGCCCTTGTAGAAGGGCTACACCAGCCAATATGGTGAACGCAAGAGTCAGCTGTGCCGGCTGAGAGAAATACGAGTTTTAGTCCAACACTTTTGGATGGCACCAGGGCAGCCAAGAGCATCAAGCTGGGACCAGGGAGACCACTCGGCCATGAGGTTCATTGGGTGGCCCTTCTCCTCCCACAAACGTCCTTCCAGTTCTGCAGCGGAGAGAACGGCTGTGCCAGCCACCCGAATTTGGGAAACGCCACTCTTGGGACTGCGGTGAGTCGGAACAGAGGAGGAGGGTGGTTGGAAGTGCCATGCAGGCGTCCCTCATGTTGTTGTGGTCGCCTCTGTCCCCAGCCTGCCTGCTGGTGATCCTAGTGATCTCCTGGCCTAATGTTTATTTGGCCGAATCAGAAGCTAATCAAATCCAGCCCAGGTCCCAAATTGGTTTTGAAGCGTTGCCTTCCAATTATAAAAATCTAATTCCTTCTTTCACCCACTGAACCTTTCCAGCATTAACAGGGCCCTCTTACTATGCAAAGTGGATGCGAAGGCCTCTTTCATTTCCCAGTAATTAAATGAATGTCAATTGTTTTGGTTGTTTCTGAGGGAGAGTCCTACAAGAGTATTAGCGTGTTCTGCTAACCCAGACAGCCTGCACTCCAGGCCCGGCGAAAGCCCTTGGGGGGTTGACCGCTGACCCGAGACTCTCTGGGCGGACTCGCCGGCTGCATCTCAATGAGATGGGCTCCTTTGCTCTGGTTTCTGTGCGACCGTCTGAGCGGAACTAATATTGCGGCTGCATACAGATGAAAGAATTGTAATGGTGGGGGGAGGAATGGCTTTATGGCTATATTAATTAAGCAGATGTACCTGTCTAATTAAAGAGCTGCTGTCCCCTTTGTACCCTCACTTGCAGGGCAAACAGTATTTAAATGCGCGGCCGAACCGTTTCGCCTATCAATATTTAGTAGGAACACTCTCTGATGGAGGTGATATTAGCAAGATGTACTCTCCATTTATTATTAATAGCAGCCCTTCCAATTATGCACGGGCGCGGCAGTGTATCTTTACAACTGTGTGCATTGGGGGGGGGGGGGAGCAGCTGCTCAGGTGAGCAGCCACACAACGCGCGAGTAAGGGGAGACCGGGCACAAACACCCCCAGCTCGAGCCAGACCGACCCTTGCTGGGGACATCCCAACACCCTGCCACCAGGCCACAGGCTGACTGCGGTCCCAGGGCTACCCTCGGCTGCAAACACAGGTGTGCAGGCCCTGGCGGGCCGTGTGACTCATTCAGGAGCCCACCTGTTGGGCAGCAGGGAATGGAGCCCCGTTGTGCAGGACTGATCTGGAGGGCCTTGCGCAGGAGGGCAAGCAGGTGCACGCCAGCATGGCACAGCAGGTCCCGGCAGCGAAGGGAAGCACGGGCCCCAAAAGGCCAGGCTGCGGGTCCAAGCAAGGAAGTGACACGTGGGCGGCAGGGCCTGGCAAGGGCAGCGACTTCGGCATCGCCGGAGGGAGGACCTCCTCGCTGGTTCTTACACCACTGGGGACATGGCAAAGGCCGGTCCTTTGGCAAATGAGAACGGGGCGCTCTGTCCCTTGGCCCAGTGACCAGGCCCGAGCCAGAAACTCTTACAAACTTCGTGGGTAGGAGTATACATGGGTTCTCCCCAGCCTATTAGTGCACAGAGGCTTCCGGGACGTTGCTCCGTGTTGGTCTTTTCTTTGGCCAGAGCCGGGCGTGGTACACACAGTTACTTCCTTGATATTTGCAGGCTGGCTTGAAAAGGGCCAAGGGGAGGTGCCAGCATGAAGAGCCGCAGCCTGGCTTCTCCGTATCACCTGACGGCCTGCTGACTCAGCAGGGCCCGACCAGAGCGTGGCAAGCAGGAAGTGCTCCGTGAGGCGCAGCAGCGCCACCAGCTCCTGGGGCCTCCCCTCTGGAATCCAGAGCTTGGTGCGGAACGTTTGTCTGGCCAACCCTCGAGGTAGCTGGACATGTTCCATCCGTGCTATTTTTAAAATCACTATTCATAATGCCCTTAATAATGACGACGACGGCAATAAGTGGTTATTTATCACATCCTTAAAGAGTAGCGTAAGGTACAATCTAGTGCAATGTTTACACGGAAAAATGTCCTGGCTGGGGAACGCAGGGAGTTTTAGGAGATTGTAAACAGACATTTATTCTGTCTAAATAAGCACAGGATTGAGATTTTTTGCTACCCGCTTCCAAGTGCTTCTGATCACCTCCTCTAGTTTTTTTCCTGGTGCAGGTTAGTACATGCCGCGAGAACAGCTAGCATCTTGAAAAGCAGTGCTTGCAGTGAAACTCTTTTTAATCATTCACACTAATCAAACCAAGCGGTAACAGTTAAATCGTGGGGTGATCAGAATTACATTGTACCCTGGATAATCACCAAGATGGGAGAGGATCAAACAGAGGGAAATATTTCCCTCCCTTCCCTCGGTCACTGATCTACTTGGGATTGCTGGGACAAAACTTTTCATTTCTGTTGTGACAATCAATGGGATAAATGAAATCAGACTCACCAGAAGCTGCTTCTCTCTAGACAGTCTCAGCTCTAACTCCCAGAATGTATAAGCTGACAGCTCCCCACTGCTCCTTGGTTTAGGGAGGGTCCTTCTAGGGTTTTTTGAAGGGCCTGCTTGAGTTTTATTGCCCTCTTTATAGTTTACAATATGCTTTGGGCAGGGGGAAGACTTAAAGAAAAACCAACCTATTGCCTAGGAGGGAACAAGAACAGACTGCCAGCCCATCTTAGATTTAGTGTTTGCTTAGACCTCCAACCACTGGGGCCAAGTTACCGTATACTCAGAATCCTTAATACTTGGTTGGCAGTGGATTGACGATATAGCTCTCTATGTACTCAAAGACCGTCTGGGGATCTTGATCGCCATTGATGAAAAAAGCCTCTTCGAAGAAGCTCTCCAGGCTACTGGAAAGCCGGAAGTAGGCTTCCACCTTGAGCATCACCGTCTCTTCAACGTCCCTTGGGTGCATCAGGAGGCGGTCATTTGTTTCTTTCAAGGCAGATGGTTTGTACAGGGTGTGATACCTGGAAACCAGACAAAACAGAGGAACGGCCCTGAAGGATGCTCTCCTGCTTCTGGAGGTGCTCCAGTGGCTTCCAGTACAGCCTAACAACAGGAACATGACTGTGTAAAATGTGTCTCAAATCAATCATTACATTAGCACCATGCCCCAGAAAACTAATGCTGCTCCCAGAGCCAGCACAGCACAGATTTAATTAAGAGAAACTTAAGCTGAAGAACAGCCCTGTCTGCTCCCACTGCCTTTCCCGCTTTTGCCCCCCTCCACCAATGGAACGTGGCCCCTGAGAGCTTTTCTAGAACTGGAAAAGACTCCACATCCATGTATTTAAACCATGGTTTAGCACAATGTCGCTTGAGCTGTCGTGCGCGTCAGGTATGGGCTCTCCTCACTCCCTCCATGGGATCAAGAGGAAGAGTTCAGAAACATTTGCTTCCATTTCATCAACCACACGTTGCCACATTGTCTGGGCCCAGAGGTTCTGGTTCATTTTCACAAGCCAGCTTTAAACCATGCTTTGAAGTTGGCTTATTGAATGTTAAGCATAGTTGAGTATTAACCAGTGTTTGTCACACTGGGAGACATAACAAACCTTGGTTAGCAAAAGCTTAGGTACACCTAGCTAGGGATCCTGCTCAGGTGTGTTACCTCACATGCAAACATGGCCAATGGATAACTAACTTACGGATTTAACTCCATAAGCTGGAATGGAATTAACTCAGGGCAGATGATGCACTGGCAGCCACTGCCTTCAGCAGTTAGAAAGGGGGATTTAGCAAATGCGTGCAGGAGGGGAAGTCTATCGACAGCCAGCAGCCACAGGAGCTAAACAGAACTGCCCTGGGAAGGAAAGGTTGCATCAGGATCACCACCAGCTCTGGGGTTTGGACGGCTGTTGGGCAAGACAGCCTCTGTGGGCCAGGGGACACGGGGAGCTTGGTGTCTCCGGCTCTTCCTCTTGCCACCACTGTTGCTTGGGCCAGGCCAGCAGGAAGCTAGACAAGCAGAGTGGAATGCAAAAGAGAAGAGGGAAGTCCGGTGGGGGTGGTCTTGTTAGCAGGCCCATGCTCTCAGCAGGCCTCTGCTGGGGTGCCCACCCATGCCTCTCCTGACCTGTATCCCTGTGGCTGGAAGACAGGCTCGGGGGCAGAGCGGTGGGCTTCGTGTTCCGCCTGGGCCCCAGCGTGGCACCACAATGCTGCCAGCTCTCTCTTGGCTTCCTTCCAGTCTAGCTCGCTATGGATCAAGCTAACAAATCCATGAAACTGCACCCTTCGTCATGGTAAGTTAGTGCTACCCACCTTTCCCCAGTGACTGGGTCCAGCGTACGGTAACACAGACGCTCCAAAATGGTTTGAGTTGTGACATTCAGGAAAAACACCCTGTTGTTGGGGGAGGGAGGAAGAGAGAGAAGGGGGACATGGTCAATATCTTTAACAGGTAGCATGCAGGGTGACTTGGAGAACAACTGCCTTCTTCCACGCGCTCTACGTGGGGCTGCCCTTGAAGACAGTCTGGATACTTCAGATGGTGCAAAATAGAGCAGCCAGGTTGCTGACGGGGACTGGGCGTTACTCTCACATAACCCCAGTCCTCTACCAGCTTCACTGGCTTCCCATCGAAGTCCGGGCTCAATTCAAAGTGCTGGTTATTACCTATAAAGCCCTAAACAGCTTGGGACCAGGATACCTAAGGGAATGCCTTTTTCCATATTTGCCCTCCCGCCCCTTGAGATCGGCAGCAGAGGTCCTCCTCCGGGAACCCTCTGTGAAAAATATTAGGAGGGTGAGTACCCGGAGGAGGGCCTTCTCTGCGGTGGCACCCAGACTATGGAATGCGCTCCCCAGAGAGGTCCACCTGGCGCCGTCGTCATTTGTTTTTCGGCGCCAGGCCAAGACCTTTTTATTCAAACAATATTTTAACAATGTTTAATATTTATAGGTTTTAATTGTGCAGCCAGGGTGTTTCCGGGTTTTAATTGTAATTGTTATTTATATGGTATTTATTTATTTCTGTGAGCCGTCCCAAGGCTATATAGCAAGGGGACGGCATATAAAAACTTTGAATGAATGAATGAATGAATGAATGAATGAATGAATGAATGAATGAATGATTATTTCTGTCAGCTTTCCCCAACCCTGCCAGGCAGGCTTTGGCTGAGGGACCCTCCGCAAATGAAGCCATTCCTCTTGTGCGTGGCAGATCCAGCCTCAGGACTCTCCCGCCTTTGTCTGTGCAATATTGAGGATGGCTCCACGGCACAATCGCGGGACTTGGCAGGCCGTTCTTCTTTTCTGGGTGCAGACAGGGCCTTCTCTGTGGAGGCACTTTGCTTATGGGATGTGTCCCCAGAGAGGCTCACCTGGCACCCACCAGGGCTCCTTTCAGCACCAGCTGAAGACCTCCTTGTTTGCCCAGACCTTTCTGATCTTTCTGTTCTGCTGCTTTAGATCTGCAAAGGTGCAATTCTAGGGATGACAGCGCAGCTGGCTGGGGAACGTTGGGAACCGCTGGCCCTTTTTCTGCCTGAACATGCACAGGATTGCACTCCGACTGGATTTTTACGTGTGTACCTCACTGCTGGCTTTTACTCTTCCTTTTCTGCTCGAGAAACTCTATGGGTTTCGCGTTTAATTTTATGGTTTTAATGGTTGTGAACTGCCCGGACTGCTCTGCCTTTTTGGCGGCATAAAAAAGCAGTGCATAAATGAATACGTGGGATGAGGAGAGCCAGTGTGGTGTAGTGGTGAAGAGGATGGGATTGGGACTCAGACGATCTGGGTTCGAGTCCCCACTCAGCCGTGGAGCCCACTGGGTGTCTTTGGGCCAGTCACAGACTCTCAGCCCAGCCTACCTCACAGGGTTGTTGTTGTGGGGATAAGATGGAGGAGGAGGAGATATAAGCTGCCTTGAGCCCTTTGTAGGAAAAAGGCAGGATATAAATTGAAAAATTAATTAAAATTAATCAGCACACACAACGCTTCACAACAGGTGGGTGTGAAAGGTCCCTGCCCCAAGGGGATGGCCATATGAGTATCGCAACTACAAACACTTTGGCTTAGTTGCGCTTTTGTGACACACAGTCTGCTGTAGCTACAATAAAGATGGAGGAGGAGGCAGATGACCCAAAAGCTCCCAGGAATGCTGAGTTTTGAGGAGGGACTTCCTGTAAGTAAAGCAATTCTGGGCCGAAGGGGCAGCGAAGGAAAGCGGAAGCCTGGATGGCGGAGGCTGTGGGGCAGGAAGAGCTGCAATCACCAGACCACATAGGGTGGGATATAAACAGAGAGGGGGGCAAGGCATGACGTGACAGTGGGTGATCTCTGCCAGAGGTTTAGCCTTCTGCCCTGTTTGGAATGCATGCTCGGCCAAATGAGCAAATCCATTCCAAATGTGAAGAAGAGTTGCATCCGGAGCTGGTGAGGGGCAGGAGGAGAAACGGGATATTTTCTTTCCCAGCACATTTTCTCTTCCAGTCTTTGCTGCCTGGCTTTTCATATATTATTTTTATTTTATTTTTTGGCACGTGTGCCTCTCAGACCAGTTAGTGTAAGCTTTAGACGTTCACCAAAGGGAACATTTTACATTTACTGAGGAGGGATCAGATCAGATGAAAGCCTGAGGTTTTCCCGTGGCATTGCGCATAACAGATTACGAGGCTCCTTTGTAGAACTTAAAGTTATGAAAATCATCCCAGTCGCTCTTCAAATGTTTACAGATAATGACTTCCATTCGCATTGCAGGTTGTATGTGTTCTGTTTTTTAAATAAAATAAAAAAAAAACTCAGCCCAGCATTAAAAAAGCTGAAGATCTCAATGATTCCAAAGACAGGAGGAGAATATAACAGTTTTCAACAGTCTTTTATCCCTTACACTCCAAACATTTTGTTTCAGCTTTGTTTCCGTTGCCCAACAACCGTTTGGAAACGTGATTGTCAGAACAGGTAACTTGTGATGGTGATGATGTGTCTTGAGATGAATATTCTAGCAGAGGCAGGGGAGAAAAAGCAGAGCCTCCTTATACAGCCCTGATAATTGATACGGCTCCTGCTATTATATTCCAAAATAAACAAAAAAAGCTAAAGGATTATAACCTGGCATATCAAGAAGGCTTGTCGCAACTCATAGTCACTAACTTGAGAAAAGGGGTGTGTGTGGGGAGGAGGTGTTGCACGAGGCTGAGATGGAAGAGCTGAAAACACCCACTTCACTTAAGCTGCCAGCAAAATGAACCTTAGAAGCGCCTTGTCGGAAGTCCTCTTTATATATGTTGTGGGTTTTTTTTAGAAGAGACTTGTCTTATTATTCAGTCTGGTGTCAGCATTAAAGACAGACAGAAAGTGGGGGATGTTGCAGAAAGCAAGCCTGGTGCACAGACTGTCTAAAATGATGCAGGTGTGGAAAAGACGGTGGAAAACTGTCAGCAAGTGGCTAGTCCCTCCTGGGATCGCCTGGTGAAGGAAGAAGGCATCGCATCATTCCAGGGAGGACCGCCAGTCCCCTCGCACCGGAGGGTAGTCCCCATAGCCACCGCCCCAAGAAGAGCCCCCAGATGCAGGCAGTGCTGTCGATCCAGAGCAGCAAGCCAGCCCCAGACCAGCTGCAGGTCTTCTCTCAAGCCAATGGCTCTTCTTGATGGCCCAATCAAAACCAGACTGGCCAAAGAGACTCTTTACATGAGAGCAGGAACAAAATGGATCAGTGCTGGAATAATCCATCCAGCCACTTGCAGCTCAGCTCAGCTCAGCTCAGAAGGAACCGGAGATGGGAGGCCGGAGGGCGGGGGCGGGGCAGATGATGTTAGCATCCCAGCTGATAAAAACAGTCTGCTCATCACTGCTTCTCTGTTGCTCAAGCATCACAGATGGCCTGATTTAGCAGGCTTCGGGGCACCACTTAGCGAGGCCCCCATGATGGTTTTCTGTTTTTGCTTCTCTGTATCGCGACTTGCTTTAAAAGGTGACCTCAGGGCCCCCCCGAGGAGCTAACTTTTCACCTGAGCAGGTTGAATTCATCACAGCCCACCCTTCAATCCACTCAGTGGGGCCTCCCAGTCCCAGTGCAGCATCTTCAAAGAGGGAGAGAGCAACGGCCCTCAGAAATGTCAGGTCAGCACCAGGGCCGGGTTTGGCCCTGACATGCGGGAGAGCGGCTTGCTGAATTTGAAGTTCCAAGATTGGAACAGTCTTTGGACATAACAGGGACGTTCTCTTCTGTCCAGGATTCTTAAAAGCTACTTTTAACATGCTGTTTGAACCTTTTTCTTTTTATGGTGAGCCTGCAACTTTCTAAAATAGAAAGCCATTCATCTTGCTCTCCTTTGCTAAAATGGCCTATGCATCTTCCCACGGTATGCGGGGACCAGCTGCTCCCTTCCTATTCAGCATGCTCCGCAGTCCTTCCCTTCTCTCCTAAAGAGAGGATCCCTCATTTAAAAAGGAGCGTAATTGATCATGCCCAAACTTCACCAGCTGTGTCAGGCGTTCTCCAGAGAGGGGAAGCAGAGGAAGGAATCCAGCCCCGACGCTTGCCGCTGCTTCACTGCTAAATGGCCAGATCCTCCTTGCCTACCTTTGTCACCCCGTGGCTCCGCATCCATGGCAAGGAACCTGGGCAGGAGAAGGGCAAGCGCCAGCCTTCCGCCTACACCAGAGAGCCACATGGGCCAGGGGCCAGTCTGCATGCAGAGTGCCTGTGTCCTTCCGCAGCCTGGCCTCAAGCGTGCCCAAGCCCTTCTTTCCCAGAGGTGCTGTTTTGCTGCAATCCCATCGCCCCTCTCCACCTGAGATTGCCGTTAGAGATATAGACATAAACCAACATTTGAAGGATAACCTAAATCGAGATTACTATCTAAATCGTGTGTGCACACGCTTGGTTGTCACTCAGCACCTGTGCCATAGCTGCTCCTAAATCTAGGGAACAGAAGCGTTCCAAATCCTTGTCTGCATTTCATACACACACTCGCGGGGACATACCCCCTGCCCCAGGGCAGGCCACGCTGTGCTCCAGGACAACGCTCGGAGTCCACAGTTACCAGCCAACGGAACTGCCCTGCAGGCAAGGGGCTGCGGTGTCGTGCCACATGCCTGCAGGTTCTGGTTCTGCATGGTGCCCACAGGTGCCCAGCTTGCCGTGCCACGCAAAACTAAACGGCAGGGAGCTGCCTGAGAGTCGGGTGACCCTTGAACCGCCGCGGGCCGTCGCACTGTGCAAGCCAGGCCATTGCTCCACGGCTCTGAGTGTCAGGACATTCCCCGATGCCTCCCTTGCTCGCGGTCACAACAATTGCTTAGACTGGGGTGGGCGACATGCAGGCTTTAGATCCTTTGAGTGCTCTTGAGCTACTGCAACGCTCCAAAAGGGTCAAAATTAGAACAAAAAC